CCCTGGGAGCCGCTGGCGGGCGGTGATCGGAGCAGGGGCTGCCCCGCGAGCGGGCGCCGAGCCGCGGGTGTGTTGCCGTTCACCTTCTCATAACCTTTGTTTTTTTCAATTTTGAGCCATCATGCCAGCATTGGTATTGCACGGGCACTAAATGGTGGGCAAAATTGTTTTCCTGAGAGCAGCAGAAGAGCGTTTGTTGGTTCCAAAGGTGAACGTTTTTTCTCTATATATCCGTTTAGAAGGCTCCCCGCGCAGAGGGCTGGGGGGCACAGCGGGTTCGGCGCGATGCAGAGTCCAGACCCTGCTGTGGGTCACAGTGCGAGGGGTGTAGGTGCTCCTGGCGGGCACTCTTGCCACAGAAGTAACACCCTTGGCACGATTGACAGCCGTCGCTGGAGAAGCCAGGGGTGTCCATGCAGTCAGGGATCAGAGCTGCAGGTCGTGTTGAAGGAGCTTTGGCAGATCTGAGTGTGGGCTGCCATGCCTGTCCACCTTCATCCCCGCTGCGGGTTACCTGTTTCTGCCAAACCACCACAATTTCCATGAGTAAAAATTAACGATTGAGGGCTAAGGAGTTGCAAAGGGGAAGAAACTGTTGAAGTAGTTGCACGCTTAACGTTTTTTCCACACCATTTGATTTTTACTAGAGTTTTTCCGTGTGTATTGTAAGACTTGATTTTGCTACAGCCAAGCAGCAAACAAAATGAACTTTGTTTCCCTCTGGCCTTGTCCACAGAATGGCCCAGCAGCAAGCACTGCGGTTCCGTGGCCCAGCTCCCCCACCCAACGCGGTCATGCGGGGCCCCCCGCCTCTCATGCGGCCACCACCACCCTTCGGCATGATGCGGGGTCCTCCTCCGCCTCCTCGGCCCCCTTTCGGACGACCTCCATTTGATCCAAACATGCCTCCCATGCCACCTCCAGGAGGGATTCCTCCTCCCATGGGGCCTCCGCATTTACAGGTAAAGAATGGGAGATTCTCTTGGTTTTTTGAGTTGGGATTTAGGGTTTTTTCTTGTTTGTTTTCCCATGTGGATGGAAAAAATAGCAGGGCATGCCGAAAGCATAATGCTCATGCATGGTATTGTAAACCTAATGCATCCTGTGGTATGTAGATGCAACTTCTGTTTAGCTCCTTGAGGCCATTCTAAATGAACCAATTACAGGGTCAGGATGCACTCACCAATGGTCTTTGCTAAAAGCTGACTCTGTTGGTGCCCCATGGCAGTACAGAGAGCAGCATTCGGCTGTGCTGGGGTGTCTGAAGGCCTCAGAGCAGATGTGTGAGGCACACACCAGCCTCGGGGGTTGTCTCGGCTCTGCCTGTATCCGCTCAGCGAGGCCACGATGGACACATGACCAGCAGGGAGGGCACAGCTCAATTCCACGTGGGTTCCAACAGGAGCCACACCTGCCGGCGCTGCTGGAGTTTGTTATTACTGATCCCCACGGGACTGGGCAGGTGGGCAGGTAGCAAATCTGAGAAGCGGGTGTGTAATCAGTGGGGAGGTGTGTTTTGTTTCGGCGCTGAGTTCAGGAAGGTGCATCCTGTGTAACGCACCAGAAACTGTCAACACTCGAACAAAGGAAAACTTAACATTTGAAAAACGACCAAGAGAGTCTCAGTATTTGACTGGAGCAGCCGCAGGTGGCCCTGGTGCTGACATAAGTTTACTCTTGGCAGAGGAAGGATGCTCTTTATCTTATGTTTATTGTTGTTGTGTTTTGTTTTTTAAAAAGTTTACAGCATTTCTGGCACCTGTGGGGATAGTGTGAGCCTGCTGGGCTCCAGTAAGGTAGATCCCTGCCTGTGTTTCATGGTGATGGATGTTTATGTTCTTTTGCTTCTTGTCAGAGACTCTGACAGTTTGACATGTACAGCGCCTTTGGGAATAAGAAATATGTTGTTTTAACAGTGTTGTAGGAGTATGGTGCTATTAGGGCAGGGTAATTTCTCTGTGGGACTGTGGGCAGGCCTGTAAGGAGGTGAATAGTACTCTGTGGTTTATAAATAATGGCTTAAATCCACTAATTAGAATAGAATAGTGAAAACCTTAGTGCTGTGAAATTGATTTTAAAATGTAGGGATGTGGGCACAACGGAAGGAGAACGTGCTGACGTGGGTTATTCCGTGGGATTTTAGGCCCTGCTTTGTATACATCCTTTGGCAACGGGGCTGTAGGAGCTGTTTCCCCCTGATCCTTAGCAGGTTGGACAGTCGCTCTGCAGGGAGCTTGGGAGGAACGGAATGGGGTGGGATTGAAGGAAGTAAAGAAGCAGCGAGCGCAGGAACAAGGACTTAAGCTGGACATCATCTGAAATAAAATTAAATGACAATTACTGTTAGTTTGTGCGCTGTCGTCACCCCGAGCACAAGAGTTTAGGAAGAAAGCAGCGTGTGTTTCCCAAAGCAGTTTTCCCTCCATGTTCTTGAACATGAAGCATGTTGTTAGAGCTGGTGCTGCTCAGCAAGGTGCACAGGAGCTGATCATTCCCTTGAAACCTTCTCCCCTGGACAACTCCCGTGGAATTGAAGACTGAATCAGCACGTTTGAGGGGTGTAAAGTCACCTCAGGGAATGTCATCTTTTCCTGCCATTCAGTCCCAAGGGCCTCGTTCTAAGGGGTGTTTTCATGCTTGGCTGCAGTTTATTTAGGACTAGTTCCACCTACTGCACCTTTGTTCTGGTGCTTTATGATCCCATTTTGGTGTTAATATCCACGTGCCCGGGCACAAGGTTGGAAGCTGTGAAGCAGTGAAGAGTGTCGGAGCGTGCGGTGGGACTCGGACTGAGCGGGGGGAACAGGACCCTGCTGCCTTCATGCCCTTTCAAGGCTCAGGCAGAGTGAATGGAATTCCCAAGCCTGGCTGCTGCTCTTCTGCATTTGTGGCATTTATTCTGAGTGTGCCTCAGCTCTCAGCTGGGACATCACAGTTCTTTTATCACGCCATGCTTGTCTTCTCCAGCTCCTTCCCATAAGGGGAGTCCATGCAGCAGGCGTGTCTGGATTGTCCGTGCTCTGCTTTGCACCCAATGTTTGGTTTCCAGCTCCTCACCCGCTTCTGGTGCAGGTGGGACGTGATGTTGAAAGGTTCTGTGGTAGAAATGGAGGAGAGGGTGTGCATGGAGTGGAGCTGAAGGGCATTCTGGACCCTGGCTTCCCCCCCTCGCTCCCAGGACAGCCCTCCAACACTCAACACCCCATTATTTTGTATTTTTTATTTTTTCTGGAAAGCAGCAACAGCAGGCAAAAGTGAGCTCTGCTGGATTCCTCTTACAGATTGTAGAGCGGTAAAGAGAAAGATTATCTCGTGGCCAGGTGGAGGAGCTGTGGAGAAGAAATAAGGAAGGAAAGAAAGGCTGTAATTACCTTAATGGCTTTTTTGTTGTTTCTGACACTGGATTTCCCGCACACATCCTGGTTTCGCAGAGCCCGGCTGCCTGCCTCTCTCCTCTCACTCTCAGGTTGTGAGTGTGGAGCTGGAAGGGTTTCACCAAGAGCTCTTTCGGTGTTGCTTTTGTGAAGAGGAGCTCTTTTGCACAACAAGTTTGGTAGAACTGGGTGATGGAGGCAATGAGGTCAGCTGTAGGTGTATGCAGAATAAGATAAGAACTTTGAGGGTTTTGTTGACTGTCTTTTTATAGGGAAGTGTTCGCTACAGATGTTATGCACAGGAAATTTCAGAGCAGTCCAAATAAACAAGTAGAGTAAAAGACCTTAGTGTGCCTGGAGTTAGAAAGCAGGCAGTAAATTGGATGCTTGTAACCTTTTTATAATATTTCTTCCCTGGGGAGGTCGTTGTGTAACTGTTCAGGGGTGTATGTGATTCGCAGCTGGGGATGGCTGAGTGGCTGTTATTCAGGAACAGTTATTGCATTGGGATATTTTTGCTTTTTCAGGAAAGGAGTTTTCTTTAACCCAACTTCTTGTCATGCCACTTGTTTTCTGATGCTTTGCATTCCTGTGAGTGTCTCAGCAGCGATGGGCTGACTGCAGCCACTGTCCCTGAGCTGGGAGTGCTGGGCTGTTAACGAAGCTCTCAGGATGGATAGAGTTAACCCTGCTGTAGTTGTACTGTCTGGTGTTCTAATAAAGGAAAACTCTGCTTGAAATTGTAATATTATTATTATTACTATCATCATTGTTATTGTTATTATATGCCTTTAGAGACCACCATTTATGCCTCCTCCCATGGGTAGCATGCCGCCACCTCCTGGTATGATGTTCCCTCCAGGAATGCCGCCCGTCACTGCCCCCGGAACGCCAGCGATGCCCCCAGCTGAGGAGATATGGGTAGAAAACAAAACTCCAGATGGCAAGGTGAGCTGGGTACCAGAAACAGTGCAGTGATGGGTGTTTGCTGCTGTTGTGAGTGTGTTGTCATACACAGGCTGGCATGGTGGTACAACCCTATGCTCTGGTCTGTCCTGTTATTAATTATTTTTAAACCAGGAGGAACTGGAGCGTCTGTAAGTGCTCCTCCTCCAGATAAGCAGTTGTTTGACAGTGACATTCTGAAATTGTAGGTCTATTTCTACAACGCGCGCACGCGTGAGTCGGCGTGGACCAAGCCGGACGGGGTGAAGGTGATCCAGCAGTCGGAGCTGACGCCGATGCTGGCGGCGCAGGCACAGGCACAGGCCCAGGCACAGGCGGTCGGTGCCTCCACCCCCACCACCAGCAGCCCTGCGTCTGCAGCCTCCCCGTCCACCTCCTCCAGCACTCAGTCCTCCACCACCTCCACCACAACCACAGCCACCTCGGGCTCACAGACCATCTCCAGTGAGTACCACAGCTTTCCTCCAGCTCTGCCCTGGCAGGGGGGTGCTCTGGGGAGTTACTGCAGCAAACACTTGGTATCCAGGAGGAAGTTGTTTAAGCATAGAGCGGAGTATTGGTTTAAAGTGCAGTATTTAGTCCAGAAGAACCTTGCATGCAGACCTTCCCCCGGCTCTGAATGAGCTACTTGAGGAGAGTCACACTTGGTCAATGTGCAGCCCTTGTTCTTTAGGTCTTTGTGTATTTTTCTTCTGCTGTTATCACATCATCTCAAAGCTATTGCGCATCCATTTCCTTTTGACTATAGATAAAGCTAAATTGTGTTTAAAAGTATCTCACAAGGGAAGTGAATCTGAGGTAGGAGTTGTAGCTGTTTCCTCTTTGCTTCCAAAGTGGCATCTGTTGCTCCAAGAGCCTGGATCTGCGAGAGCTGCTCCTGGGCTGCCCAGAACTTGATCGCAGACTAGAGCTGCTCCTGGTATATTACTTCTGTTAGCATCATTCCTCTGACTGAGCCTTGTAAATTCCCATTTGCTGGAGTTGCACAAGAGAGGAGAAGGAAAGTCCTTAGAGCCGTTATTCAAACAACAGTATGAGGGTTCCTGCTGTTGCCATGGGCTGAGCCTTTGCTTTGAAGGGTGTGCCCCTGGAGGGAACTTCAAGAAAATAAATAGTATGATTTATAGCATGCTTTGGCATATCGATGCTAAGGAAGTGCCTCTGGTGCATCTATAGAGAGATGTAACTTCTGTGCTATTGGCATGCGAGTGTGTCACCAGTGAATGGGCAGTGAGGCCCCAGCATGAGGGAAGGAAGGCTTGTGCAGGAGCAGCTGGGTTCCTGCCCCTGTCCTCGAGCAGGAGAGCGCAGCGTTTCTGCTGATGAGGAATCCTCTTGTTGGACAGTCTCGATGGTCGTCGCTGCGCTGGCAGGGACACGCACTCTGAGTCAGGCCAAAGAGGAGCCGCCGCACAGCGGGTCTCACCCCAGCCCCAGGGTACAGCGACACCCCCTGCCATTACCCTGTCCTCCTCCTGCAGCAGGGGAGACAAGCCAAGCTGAGCTCACCATTTAACCCAGACCTGAGACATCTGTCTGTGGAAGGGAGGCAAATTTGGGTAACCCTCAAATTATGCTTTCAGTTAACACCAGAGGGAGGACAGGTCATTGGAGTAGCAAATAATTTGTATTGCTCAAAGCATTTTAGGGCTTCTGTTTCATTTGAGAGGTAACAGTGCTGCGTTCAGCTGCTTTGTTGAAATCTGGTCTGCTGTAAGCATTTTGCTGAGTAACAGGAGTCGGTAGGAGGTGAATGTTAGCTCCTGGCCTGACGCCAGGCTTTCCAGAACTGATCCTGCTCTTGGAATAGTGCTTTCTGCACCTCCTCTGACACATCATTTCCTAATATCCAGCACTGAGAGTCCGTCCCACTTCTGCCTGTTCTACCTGCTAAACTGTGTCTTTGCTTTCAAGAACTGTTACTGTTGGTGTCTGTGCCTAGGTGATAAAATTTTATCGGTTGAAATAGTTTTATAACTCTCAGACTTGGCCTGTAAAAGACCTGGGACTTCTGGCTGAGCTTCATTCTTGTCTGGTACTGATTTGACTGAGGCTTTAAACAGGTCGCATACTGTCTGTCTGCTCTGTTTCCCTAAACGTTAGGCAGTGCTTGGAGCTTTCACCCTTTCTGAAACACTTTACAACGGTTAATAATCAAAAATCTTTATTTAAATATGCTAATACTGGTATGCTATTGGAAATGCTGCTGGTAGTTGTTAAATACTGAAAATGCACAGTATGCCCATATAGACTATGGTCATAAATTGGTGTGGTTTCTTTTTTTGTTGGGGTTTTTTTTATTATTTTTTAAAATTAGTTCATTTTTGCAACGGTTTGTCCTCCCCTCCACCAAATGGCAGAGTGTAAATGTGCAAGGCTGGTTGATGAGTTTAATCGTTCCCATTTGCCAGCTTTGGTGTGCAGCATAAATTAGTTCATTTTTGCAGCAGTTTCTCCTCCCCTCCACCAAATGGCAGAGTGTAAATGTGCAAGGCTGGTTGATGAGTTTAATCGTTCCCATTTGCCAGCTTTGGTGTGCAGCACTGTTGGCTCTCAGTGAAGTGCTGGTCTCAGTCCTGCCACAAGGATTCTGCAGGTGAATGCTAGGAGAGGATTTTCCCACTGGGAGGCACTGAAGACCAAGAAAGTTCTTGCAACTTCTAAACAAAAGTACTTCCCTCTTCCTTGCTTATTTATACATTTTTTAATGACATTTTTGCATTCTTGGGTGCCAGCTTAATAATCACAGTTTTAGCCAGAGAGTTGTCATGCCCACACTGCTGCTGTTACTGCTGAAAAGCAGAACCTGTCTTCATTTAACATAACAACAACCTTTCTCCATTTGAAATTCTGTACATTCCCTTTCTGTTTTCCTGACCAGGGATACAGAGGCTGTATATTGTATGTGCCCTTCGGTACACGGTTACCACTGCTGTGGAGACTTGTCAGGTGAAAAGGATGGGACAAAGTAAATTCTGAAATTGACTTTCTTTGTGAATATTTAACGTTACAGAGAAGGCAATGTTTTTTTGGTCCAAGAATGTCTTCCTGCTGGTTATATCTAAGCGTATCTGCTTTTGTGATGTCTGCTGGGAAACAGAGAGCCAGTATGTTTGCAGCAAATATATCGTAGTGTCTAAGATACAAGGTGTTCTTTGTGTTCTTTTATCAGCACCTACCACACAAGACCAGACCCCGAGTTCGGGTGTTTCAGTTGCCACCCCATCAGTCAGTGTCTCAACCTCTGCTCCTTCTGCTCCGCCTGTGCAGCCTGTGCCCCAGGCAGTCCCACAGACATTGCCTCCTGCCGTTCCTCACGCAGTGCCTCAGCCAACTGCGGCAATTCCTGCTTTTCCGCCAGTAATGGTACCTCCATTCCGTGTCCCCCTTCCCGGCATGCCTATTCCACTTCCAGGTAAATTGGCAAACTGTAACTGTCTTGTCCGCTACATGTCCATGTTGTCGATTTGTTTGCACTCATGTGTCCACTGTGTACGGAACTTGCCTGAATCCTCTCCACTCAGAGTATTTTTGAAAGAATTCAGGGTTAGCAGACAGACTTTTTAATTAACAAAGAACGTGAAATTTTTTTGACTTCTAGTTCTTTGATAAACATACCAGAAACAGCTGCATTTAAACATGTAAACATTTTTCTTTTAGATGATGGGAAAATATAAGAATTGCACTAAACACTTCTTAATCTCACGGCACATGGCTATCTTGTCGCCCTATTTTTAAAAAAAAAGTGAGCTGCTGGACAGACTATTGTAGCACTATATTTTAGTAATTGCAATATTGCTACAATTTATTTCTACTTGCTTGATTTAGACCTTAAGTCTTGTGCATAAATATTGATTAGGACGTGGATTATAGCTGAAAGAAAATAATATATGTATAAGCAGGAAAAACTACCATTCAGATGCGTTACCCCTGAATAATGAGGGGTGTTTCCAGCTCTCTTGGTTGAGGTTTAAAGTGAGGACCACACTGAAGGCATTCGAGGTGCTGGGGTATTGTACAGAAGCTTTAGGTGTAAAAACCATTGAGAAGAGAAATTTGGTGTTAGCCCGCTGGTTCCTGGGTAAATTGTATTTTCTTAAGTTTTATAGAATAGGTAGATACTTACGGAAGTAATTTGAGGCTGGGGAGTGTTGGACTGGAGTGCTGTTTGCTGCAGAGGTTCTCTGAGAGGTTGCCAAGGTCCCTGGTTGCTGAAAGGCCCAGTTGTGGTTTGGTGGACATGGTTGATCTCCTCCCCTAGTCCCAGAGGTTCACGTGTTCTCAGTGTGCGGTGGCACTAAACACCTACCTAGAGCTGGTGGGTTTCTGCTGCAGAGGAAGGTGTGAGGGTGCAGTTACCTCGGATATGAGTTAGTTTCTGATTAAGAATTACAAAGCAGTAGCTCTGAACAGCTTGCTCACAGTTTTCAACACTTTGTAGAGGCTGAGCGAGGTGGCTTCTTTCCTGCTGTCCTTTTAACCCTCGACCCAGGACGTGTGAAGGGAGGCCTTTGCCTTCCATCAAACTGGTTGGGTGCAAAGTAATCCTTGATAACACTTCTTTGGTACAGGATATTGGCATCAAAGTAGTTAAAATGGGTGTTAGTTGTGCTGACTGGAAGAGAGGACCAGCTTTTAGTTCCCCTGCTTGCAGGGTAGTCTTGGACAAAGCTACTGTAATCTGTACCTTGTTTGAAAAGGAAATCACGGTGTAGTGCTTGCTCATTGCTTTTAGACGCTTCCCTCTTTGTGGCCAGCTTGTTTCTTAACACTCTGGAGAGCAGAATGGTGCATGATGCTGCCTTTTTGAGGCTGGTTACGCCACTTTTAGAGCGTTTCTCAACCTGTGACATTCTTGATAATGAAAAAGGCTGAATGAAAAATGGATAAAGGACAGAGGGAGAGCTCTGATGTTGTGTATTTTGAGGTTTGGAAGAACAATAAAAAGGGTTCAGCCCTCAAGCTGGTCAACTGAACGTCCTCAGCTGCAATTTCCGCTCTTGCCAGCGAGGGATCAACCCAGAGCGAAGGGTCCTTGTGTACCTTGGGGGATACAACCATCTCTGTTCAGGTGTGAGCTGTCAAAGCAGCAGAGAAGTGCCAGTGAAAGTGGGTGCGCTGGGTGTGCTTGGGCTGGATTCTTCATAAGCTCTCAGTCAGCGTTGAGAGTAGTGCAATGCAATGCAGAAGGAAGGACAGGGCAAGAACTTCGATTTTTTTCTCCTTGTTAAACTTGCTTTTTTCAGAACTTTCCTGGTAGCAAGTCTTAGATCTGGCCTCTTCTTCCCATGAGATGAGCCTTTGGGGGGAACCCCTAGACGTGGGAAGGACACCCAGCAGTAATGTGTGTGCTGCCCCTGAGGAGTCTGGTTTGTCATTCTGCCGGATTACAGAATAAAATCAGTGTACTTCTTTTGGCTAATTCTGGCCTGACTTGGTTGTAGTGGTTTATAAACATTGTAAAAGAACAGGAAACCTTTAAAGTACTCTACAATAACAAGAAAGTAAAGACAAGTCAGAATGACTTCCCGGCAGTAGAAGGTGGAGTCTCAAAGGCTGGGGAGTTTCCCCGTAGGCAGCGGGGGCTTCTGGCGCTGGGCACGAGGGACAGGGCAGTGCTGCTGTGAGTTCAGAGTTAACCTCTGTATTAAGATGGAACAGTGGCAGAATTGATTAATGATATCTCATAATCCAGATCTTAAAAAGTAAGTCTGCTTTCTCTTAATTCATACGTTAAAAGTCAGTTGTATGTTTGAGAACGAACTTGGCAGAGGACTCAGCGGGGTATTTGCTACGTCTTATCTGCGCTGCAGTATCTCTGGTTTCAGTTGTCCCGCAGATGGCATTATTTATACTGACCCAGTTTTAAGACATGCTGTAACTTCCTTAACAAAACGAATTTTCAGATTCATTTTCAAGTACATAACATGACACACACCCCCTCCCCACACCAAATTTAGACAAACACTTCATTCAGTGCTGTTTGAGTCAATGTTCTTGTGTCTCAATTCATACTTTTTTTTATAAAGCTAGTTTTGGATCCTTTCATTAAAATTATTATTAAAGAATATTACAATTCTGTCTTCTCACAAATATTTTTTTAAATAAATTGACAGTATTTTTGTATGCTTTTCATACTAGATGTCTAACAAGGAAAAATAGAGATTATTTGATTATAAACACAGGGGTTTAATTTCACTTTGTGCTGGAGGATTTCCACCTCAGGAAAATGGAACAGAAACCATTTAAGGGGAAGTTTCTGAGCATCCAGACTGGACCAACAGAGAGAGAAGTTCTAGTTTCCTTCTGTACCTTAAAATGAAGGTTTTTGAAATGTGCTCCCTTGCCCCTGTCTAATTTCCTACCGAATTTTGTGTCTAGTTGAAGGGGATTAGACGCTTCCCTCTTTGTGGCCAGCTTGTTTCTTAACGATCTGGAGAGCGGAATGGTGCATGATGCTGCCTTTTTGAGGCTGCTTACGCCACTTTTAGAGCGTTTCTCAACCTGTGACATTCTTGATAATGAAAAATAAAGAAAATGTTTGCTGCCACTGACCTGGTGCAGCTTTGTGTACCTCTGCTTGCAGCTTCTTTGCTTTTATTTCCTTTCCCCCCCTCCTTCCGCCTCCAGCCTTTCCCTGGTGCCCCAGTAACCCCAGCTTTCCCTGGGGGTGGGACTGGGCTCTCACCCCCCCACTCCTGGCTAGTCCAGCCAGCTCAGGTCTGGCCCCAGCCCTCCCCACTGCTCGCTGTGCCCAGCAGCACACAGCACTGCAGAGAGCACTGTCTCACCTTCTGCTGCTCCCCTGGGGGACGTGGCCCGGCGGGGGCTGTCACTGGGACCAGCACCACCAGTAGAGCGTTTTCCCAGTCCTTCCCATGAGGAGAGCAGAGTCCCCCTTCAGTGAACTTAAACCCCTGAGTCTCACTGAAATACCTTTTTTTTTCTTTTTTTTTCTTTTTAACAACATCCCATAAATTTGCTAAACAGCTGGTTTAATGTAGGCAGAAACTGTTGCTGCAGCTTAAAGTTAGTTTTATTTTTGATCTGGCATAAAATGTTGGAGCAAAAAAACCAATTCCCATTTTCTTGCCCGAGGCTTTCCCTTGCCCGGCTGGAAATGGCACCCAATTGGCGCAGGGCACCCGTGGGCAGACTCCCAGTGGTAGCTGACGTGCCATGGCAGCTTTCCAACGTGCTTGCTTGTCCCTTTTGCAGGTGTAGCAATGATGCAAATAGTCAGCTGCCCGTATGTAAAGACAGTCGCTACCACCAAGACCGGTAATTTTCAAACCCATCCTAGTTCGTTTTGTCTGTAAGTTGGCATGGTAGTGAATGTTGGTGTTATCTTTTATTTATTTATTTGCTTCCCCAAATGAATGAATATCTCTACTTTCTTTTCAAAACCAGTATAAATGCAAATATCGTATTTGGCCAGGAAATAACTTTCCCAAATAACTGTTAGCGTTAGCTTATTTTATGCCAAAACTCCAGTAGAGTTTTCTGTAACCATTGAGTTGTGTAATAACTGTGACTCTCTTCATGCCCATACCTCTTAGTTACTAGTTCTGTGTGCGTGGAATTTTGTTTTTCCTACTTCCACATGTATAGTGACATGACTGTGCTGGCATGTTGGTGTGTGTGTATGTGTGTCCTAGTATAAATTTTCATTTTTCAAATTGTGCATTTAAGAAAAGTCACTTACTGAGAATACTTTACGGCAATGTGTAATGTGTGCTTTTCCATTAGTTAAAAAGATAGATGTTTTCATATAACATTAAAGGCTCAAAATTATGATCTCATAGTTCTAGCCCTATCCAATTTGTTTTCCTAGGGCTGGTATTTCAAAACATATTCAATATATCCATTTTGTTGGGATGACTAGAGCAGTAATAGGGTAATGTCATATTCTGGCTTTCTTATCTTTGGATATTTCCTTGCCATTTTGCTTTAGGATGTGAATAAAATGTTTTTTCCAATCGGTCTGCAGTACTAAACAAAATTGTCACACAAGCTGAAATAAATAAATTCTCATTAGTTTTTATCCAAGGCTCAGAATTAATGTTCATTTTTTTTAAGTCAGGATTTAAGATTTATCAGAGTTCTGCTCTATATTATATGGCTCAAATTCAAGCCACTGTTGTTTGGTTTTTTTGCCAAGAACAATAGCAATATCTCTTAAAATGATAGCATAATTAAACAGTGGAATAGCTTTTTCAAAAATAATTATTTGCTATAGAGATCCAATAAAGATTTTCTAGTAAATAGAGTACTTACTTTCTGAAGTATTAAAGCAAATGTCTGAAAACTAACAAGCTTTGTGCTGTGCAGAATTACACATTAATTAAAATGAGAAGCTCTCTAATTTGCCTGGTGACGTGGGCACTGTGATCTGGCTGTAAAACACAGGAGGGAAATCCAGGAACAAGGCATTGCTTTCCAGTTTAATTTTGAAAACGGTCTTTGTATTTATTTATCTGGGTTGGTTATTTGTAAATCAAGTCAGTGAAGTGCTAGGGTTTGGTTCTGGGGTGGTTCATTGTCACTTACTGTTTTCTCTCCTCTTTTTCTCTGCCTTTCCCCTCGTCCAGGCGTGCTGCCGGGCATGGCCCCCCCCATCGTGCCCATGATCCACCCCCAGGTGGCCATCGCGGCCTCCCCCGCCACCTTGGCCGGAGCAGCCGCCGTCTCCGAGTGGACCGAGTACAAAACAGCCGACGGGAAGACCTACTATTACAACAACAGGACTCTGGAGTCCACGTGGGAAAAACCCCAAGAACTCAAAGAAAAAGGTACTTCCTTTTTTTTTTACATACAGCTGTATGTGAGGCAACGTGAATGGCTGTGTTTGAAAATGAAAATGGGAATGTTTCCAATCCCTTATCTCCCTTAAGAATATCTTGAAATCCTGATTGTAAGTATCCATTTGAGTTGGACAGCTCTAGTTTCTTTGTTTCCTGCCATATTGTGAGAGTATTTGGCTCTAGAGTCGCTTCCAAGTCCCTGACACGTGGGTAACGGCGCATTCCCGCTCCTCCAAAAAGTAAGGACTGCTCGGGTGTTTGAGAAGATCCCAATTGTGGAAAGATAGAAACCAAGGGGAAATTCAGTTATCCTAAAGACGGTAAACCAGGAAAGAATGAAGGTCATTGAAATGCTAAACATCAGATCTTCAAAACCTAAGTGTATAGACAGATGTGGAATGTGAGGAAAAAATAAATGACCACCCCCTGTCCACGTCACTGAGTCAGATTCTGTGACTTCTGGTTATTTGAACTCACATTATATCCGTGGGTGTTGGTATATTGAAGGGAAATTGTTCTTTTATTATAAATAAGAAAGAAGGGGCAAAAATCCTGTGGCTTTTTTTTCAGTTGATAAAGTCTTTAAGGAAAAAAAATCCTGTTGGACCCAAACGGTTCTTCCTTTTACTGTCAAATTTTTCAGTTACAAGAGATCTGTTTAGATAGATCAGAACACTTACATAGTTACCTAGCTTAATGCCCATCTTTCTAATCAGGTTTAAATAATAAGTCTTTTTACTGTGGTGAAAACATTTAAGATGGCAAATATTTACTCAGTTTTGCTGAGTAAAGATTATACATTTTATAATAATTTTAGAATGGGTGCAATCCTTAGATGATTCTGTGGGCATTTTCTCTGACTTTGATTTTTTTTTTTTTTTTTTTTTGCATTTCAAGTCTGAAAGTTGTCTTCAGTAATGCACAGCTGGTTGCAAGTGTTGGTTGATGTTTTTATTGGTGTTTCAGCTATTAGTTAGGTTTTTAATACAGTAGGCTGCCTTAAAGTATTTCGTTTTCTAGTCCCAAGTAGATCTTGGTGCTGGAGATAATCACATCTTTATAAGCAGACATTGTAAAGCCCAAGAAGGACAGCAAGTGGAAAAAGCACATTAAAAATAACTTTTGTTTTATGCTTGTGCTTGGAAAATCGTACTGATAAAATCCAATTTGTTGTGGTTCTATAATGGTTTCTCAATAATACTAAGGAAAGTTCTGTCTTTATTTAGAAAAAATGGAAGAGAAGATCAAAGAGCCAATTAAAGAACCTTCAGAGGAGCCTTTGCCCATGGAGACAGAAGAAGAGGAGCCGAAAGAAGAACCTATAAAAGAACTTATAAAGGAGGTAAAAGCCCTTGCAACCAAATACTCAGTGTCGTGTTTTGGGCCCTGCCTTCCCCGTGGGGCTGCTGTCAGCCAGGACTGGCGGGAGCCGGGCTTGGTAACAGCAGTTCTGACATTCTGGGGGGATTTTCAAAGCCCTCCTCTTTGGACTCAGAGCTTGTTTTTTAAATTCTTTTTTTTTTTTTTTTTTTACATAAGGAGAAAAGAACATTTAAAAGAAAAATACAGAGTATGTGAGTTAAAAAATTAGTAAGAACATGGAAAAAAGTTAGCAGGGATGAAGTGCAGTTGGGCTGTGTGTTAGCATTGTTTCAAAATACATCTGCTTGTTTATAACAAGTTAGTTACTTCATAATAAATAATTAGTTCTCTGTATTGAGTGAATCCTGTACCTTGCTTTTCCCCCGAGGAGCCGAAAGAGGAGGAGCTGACTGAGGAGGAGAAGGCAGCCCAGAAGGCCAAGCCAGTTGCCACCACCCCTATCCCAGGCACCCCGTGGTAGGTAGCGCTTTGTCCCGCGGCTGCTGCTGCGGGGCTGGAACGAGCCTGTTGTTGGTGCTGCAGTCTCAACTGACTCATGCTGTGGTGTATGTGCATCATCCCCGTGTGTTTGGGTCACCAAGGGAAAAACCTTACCTGTGGGAAAGGGATATTGTTTTAATTTTTGGAGCTTAGCCATAGATGTTCTTTTATTAGCATTTGATATTTAGAACTGTCTCCCTTCAAATTTTCTCTGCGGTTCTTTCATCCCACCATCTACAAAATTCTGGCAAAATCATTGCTTTTTCTCCTGTTTTGTGGGGCGTGGAAGAGATGAGGTATGTTTTATCCCAGAATCTGATGCAGCTGTCTGAAACGTTTTTCTAGAGAAGAGCTGAATATACTGCAGCTCCTGGTAAAAAGCAATTTTAAAATAAAAAATTTCAAATCTGCTGGCAGAGAAAAGCAATAGTTGAGTGTCCCAGCTGGACAGTAGGGGTGTCTGGTGGTTGTGCAGTGTCACTCTATGGTGTCTGTCTACGACTGCGGCACTGGCGTCGTTCCCTGTGTGTGGTAACAGGTTAGAGAATGGATAAGGACAAAGATAATCCAAGGTTTCCCGTCTGTCTCTCACTTGCAGGTGTGTGGTGTGGACGGGGGACGAGCGTGTGTTCTTCTACAACCCCACCACCCGCCTGTCCATGTGGGACCGACCAGATGACCTCATTGGAAGGGCTGACGTGGACAAAATTATTCAAGAACCTCCTCACAAAAAAGGAATGGAAGAAGGAAAAAAACTTAGTAAGAGGAAACTTATTGTTGATTATAATTTATTGCTTATTTTGTGTTGATTTCCAAAACCAGTAAAATTTCAATAAGTGAGAGAAACATAAGGACATGTTGAAAAATGTATATATCTTTGGAATTTAAGAAGGCTGGTGGAAATACAGATTTACAGAGTATTTAGGGAAAAAAAAGTCTGTTGAAAAAAATAGATACTAAGAAGGGTATTTTTTTTTCAAAATGCCAATGGGCTGAAAAAATCCCCACAGTTTTTACTGACTTAAAAAAGGGACTGTCTTTGTTTTGTAAGCACGAGGAATTTGGGGGCCAGAAAAGATTAATTATGATGTAGGAATGGGCTCTCCCGAAAGAGGATTTAACGTAGAGAACATCAAGGGGAACACAGTTCTGCCAGCAGCTGCCCGGAGCGGAGCGCGTTCAGGCGCTGCTGGGGTGAGGGCTGTTTTGGGATGGCTCTGGCAAATGCTGCCGGGAGGACGGTCGGTGGTTGGAGCAGAGTACAGTGCAAGTAGGAAATGGGGAGATCCACGTGTGCTCCATTAGGCTGTTTAGCCTGAGGTTTTCTCCATGGAAATAAGAGGTCAGTGTTTGTCATTTTAGATCCAGAGTTGGTGACAAGTCCGTAGTCCTACCACCAAATGCCAGTGGTGTTATTCTGAAAGCAACTGAGAACCGTGTGTCTTCCACTGTCCTGGTTTTCATTTCTAAATTAGAAAATTGTCATAAACATAAACCTTAAAGTATTATTGAATTCTCTTACAGTCAGAGAAGAGCATGAATCTACAGAGGAAGCAAATGAGGATGAGCCTATTAAAATTAAAAAGCGCAAGTAAGTTTGCTTTTTCAATATGAAATGGTCTGTGTAGATGAAAAAAACAGTTTTCTGTCTGAGCAGTGTATATCCTGGTGTATTCAGCAGAGCAGAACAGTCATGGATAGGACTTGGGAACACAATCAGCAGCTTTCTGCTATTTAACAGCTCCAGTATTTGCTATTTCTCTGAGATGGCTGTAACTCATGTCTAGAAGAAATAGCATCTCCTTTGGAAATCATGGAATAAATGGCACAAGTTGGTGAATCCAAGGGATATGAGTGCATTTTATCTTAAATAATTTGCTTCTCTTGCTTGTTTATCTGGCTTGTTTGTTTGTGAACACTAGATTTTGTTGCTAAAAAATCCAGCCATCTAGATTTTCACAGTGATTTCTCTTTTTTCACTCTGAAAGGTTTAACCTTTTCATTTTGGTCTTTTGGTCTGTTTTGCCTTTTGGAAGCGGCACATGTCACTTCACTCTGAATTACTTACATGCACTGTTTTAAAAGTAGTTTTACCATTTTATTTGTTATTTGTGTAGTCTTAGGGATGGTCATAAAGCTGTTAGCAACAAGGGCTTTGAGTTCGTTTGGGACAACGCACATTTCCTCTTAGAAAACATGAATCAGGAAACAGGATGCTATTGCAGAAACGCTTTGGTGGGTGGGTGAACATGTCCCTGGTGTCACAGCACGTTCTGCTGCAGTGATTGCAGGGAGTTGTGAGTCTGAGCTAACTCCCGTAGCGTAGTCTGTTCACAGGGCCTCGTGGTCTTGCGCAGGAGGTGAGAGAATTAGTGCAGTTCATGTCAGGTCTGTCAGGTCTGTTCCCTGTCTGGTGGGACCAGAGTGTGTGAACTTGCTGGAGCCATTGTTGGCCCTGGGGCTGCTGAGGATACGGTGGTCCCTGGGACCATTCCTGTCCCGGGCCCCACGAAGGGCTGCCCTGGGCTGTCAGCCTGTGCCTCCGGAGCCGTCGCCTGCGTCCCTTCTGTCCCGGCGCAGTTCAGTTCCACCGACGGGGCTGGGCTGTGACTGCTCGACTTACACCCTCTGTTTAATTTTTTTTCAGGAAAGATGATAACAAAGATATTGATTCGGAGAAGGAGGCTGCTATGGAAGCTGAAATTAAAGCCGCTCGGGAGAGAGCCATTGTCCCGCTGGAGGCTCGGATGAAGCAGTTCAAGGACATGCTTCTAGAAAGAGGGGTCAGAAACCAGTGTGTGTGTGGGCAGAAGGGGAGAGAGGATTCAGGCGGAGTCTCAATCCTTGGGGAATTCAGAACCTGCAGTGCTTTGTGGAAGGAAAACAATCTCATCCTTGCTCTGACTAATGGATGCATTTGGTACAAGACTGCACGTTTCAAAGAATGTCACAATTATGGCAAATTTTTCACTTCTAAGTAACTGAAATTAAACAATATCAAGACATTTGTGGGTTTAACTTTTTTCCAAGTTAAGTAATTTCCCAATTGAAAACTGCTGTTGAAAATTAAATAGAACACACAAACTGCACACATCCTTAATGATTTTGGAAATGTTCCTGCGTGAGGAAAGCAGTGATTTCCATTGCAGTCTGTATGCTCTTACTCTTAAATGGGAGGGTTAGTGTTCACACTGGCTGTGGCAGCATCCATTGTCTGGTACTGATGGAAACATCAAGATGAGTTTGTTTCCCTCTTTTCATCAGATGTCCTGTAGTTTTCAAGCAAAACTGCAAGACGTCTGTATATCGGAGGAAACTTAACCATTGGTTAAAATCTGACTCTTTTAATTAAAGGTCTCTGCTTTTTCAACGTGGGAGAAAGAGCTACACAAGATAGTTTTTGATCCTCGTTACTTGCTTCTCAACCCAAAAGAAAGAAAACAGGTAAAAGAAGTCGAATTCACTCCCCATCAAGATGCAGCTACTTCGGGCTTTGTCTAAATTCTCAGTCCCATTTTCGCTCCTGCTCACCTTCCAGACTAATCAGTGTTGGAAGGGATTTTGTTATGATTAGGGTTTGTCTGGAAACAGCAGCAAGAACAGAAGTGAGTTGATAGTTTTTATTTTTCCTGTGGTTGGAAGATCTAATATTTTAACACAGTGAAAGTTGCGCGCATTGAGAGAGCTCACAACACCTGAATGAAATGGTGAGAATCATCAGTATCTCTTCAAAAGATTGGTGTGATTAGTTGTCTGTTTATTTAAAAAAAAAAAAGGGGTTGGGGGAAAAACTAAAGCACATTTTTAACGTTAATCAAGTTCTCGCTCCAGAAGCTTGTCTTCAAATGGATGTAGGGAGATGGAAAACGTCAAGAATAGAGGAGGTTACTGCTGTCTTAAACTTCTCGCCCAGAAAAACGTTACCATGACTTGAACGTGTAAGAAACTTCTTCCCAGGTCCCAGATAACATGTTTGGATAGAGCACGCTACGTGTGCAGCAGGCTGGAGGCTTTTGCATACTCAGATACAAAGAGTCCCTCAGCCTTCTTTCTGCCTTGTCTGTGGTGGCTCTGTGGGGAGAAAAAAGGAAAGAGGGAAAAAGGAAAGAAAAGGGATTTTTCCTCCCCCTCACCTAGAGCTTTTGTGGCCTCAGGCTCGTACGTGTTATGTTGGTGACTGGTGTTTCTGTAGGTATTTGATCAGTATGTGAAAACTCGAGCAGAAGAAGAGCGCAAGGAGAAGAAAAACAAAATAATGCAGGCCAAGGAGGATTTCAAGAAAATGATGGAAGAATCAAAGATTAACCCAAGGTAGGAGCTGCATCTTGTTTGTATGCATAAGCTCTGGTAGCACCAACTGTGCTGGGTGGGATTGGGTAGATTCACCTCTTTCAAAATGGGCAAAGAGGAGAAAAATCACCAGATATTCTTAAAATCTTTTGCCTGCTAGTATTCACCTTACCCGTGAAACAATAGAACTTGTGGTTTATAATGATTACATATTTTAAGTCATTTTGAAGATCTCCCCACCATGCTGTTGGGATTGGGAGAGAGGCCTCATGATCCACCACAAGATTTCTTTGATAACCCTGTTTCTTATTAAGAATATTAGTCATCTCTGGGAAGTACTGGGGAGGTTTCTTCAGCTGGGGGGGAGGCTGAGGGGATGTTTTTTGGTTACAAAGTGTGCTAATAGCAATATGATCGAATGTTCCGGTTGCTTTAATACGGCAGTTACCACATGCCCCTCACATTCAGAGCCACTCACAGTGATGACAGCGAGGAGATGACAGTGAATGTACTAACTCAAGATGTTATTGCTAGGATTGTTTGTTTCACAGCTTTCTCACATAGAGTCCATAAAATACGTGCTCATGTCACCAGATGAGCTCTAAAGCATTCTCTTCCAGCATCTCTTGGCCTATCTGGCATTAATTCTTTTACAGTGAAATAACAACGCATTTGCTTCACCTCAGATTAATTTTTTTTCAGTGACCTGTTCTGGAAATCTGGTGGAAGCCAGTGTTACCTTAAATTTTAAATTACTTCCAATCTGATTAATAACTCTTGTTTAAAACACCCAGCTGCTCATTTAATAAGGGTGGCAGTTGTGACAGGAGTAGGCTGGGAAGAATGGAGGCACGGAAATGTTTTAAAAGTTGATATGTAATAAGTTTAATATATAATTCAGAGACTAACGTGGACTGTTACATTAGCTTCAGTATCCTCAGCTTCCACGGTACCTCCCATGTGTCATATTGGGACTGGTTATGGGTTGGGGGTGGGGAAAAGAGTTCCAGCTGAAATACTGTCTTGTTTAATCTTATCCTTTGTCTTCTGGTTTCAGTGTTTGTCTAAAGATATTGCTGAACTTCTCTGTGTGCCAGACTGGGGTTTTATCATCTATCTCAGTCCAACATGCTCAAGAGTTTGTGTTCCACTTCTCTTAAACAGCTCTTGTTCTTCAATATAGCTGTACATTCACTTTCTGATCTTTTTGAATAAGCTACCAAATTCTCTTCTTGTTTCAATTTACCCTACAGCAACAGTAGGCTGGATTTTCCAAGTCTAATTATTTCCATGCTGTGATGAAAACATTCGTATGATTATAAGTGTCTCACGTATTCTTGGGGCCAGATTTGCATCAGAGCTTGGAAAAAGCACAGTAGTGGTTTTTGTCGAGGTAAGTGGCAGTACTGTATCTACTGCACAGGTTGGAATCTGGCCCTGGAGGTGAGAGAAGGCTCAGGGAAGTGCTGTGGGGACCAGGGGTTGAAGGCCCGGTGCTGCTGCGTCTGCCCATAGTGATTAAGTACTTTCAGCTCCGTGTGTTCTGAGATCAGGCTTTACGGCTCTCGCAGCAGGAGAAACCCCAATTCAGGCAGTTCTGTTGTGACTAACACCAAAGGGATATTTTCCTGGTGAACTCTTAGCATGGTTTGGCTGCAAGGGAATGCACGTGAAATTTTCAATTTCACAGCTGTGCAGCACCTGGACAGACTGGTGGCTGAACTGCTAACCTGCAAAAAAAGAAGGTTTTTTTAGACAACTGAGCTTTTTTTTCATTTCTTCTTCTTGGTTGCATTGTAGTCTCTCCTCCTACACCTGCACTTTCTGCAGGTGGCTGTATTCACACCAACACACAAAAATACCCCTCTGAGTCTCTAATGATGCCTTTCACTTGTGTGCCTGAACCTGACTCCTTTCTGTAGAGCTCATTGGTGGAGTGTCTCCGCAGTGAGACTGTAGGATGTTGCCTTTTTATTTTTCCCATGGTCTGGCATGTTCTCCAGCAGAGGAGCTCCTCTGCTGAACCTGCGTCCCAGCAAAGACGGCTCTGCCAAATGAGTTCACTTGCCGTTTTGTTGCAGAACTACTTTTAGTGAATTTGCAGCCAAGCATGCTAAAGACTCGAGGTTCAAGGCAATTGAAAAGATGAAAGATCGAGAGGCCTTGTTTAATGAGTTTATCACAGCGGCAAGAAAGAAGGAGAAAGAAGACTCGAAGACCAGAGGTGAGAAGGTAAGGAGACCTCTTCAGTTCCAGCAGTGTGAGTGGTGCGAGTCCGAGTGCGATGGGATAAGGGCACTGGTTTCCAGTGAGCCCTCTGGGACACGCTCCTCCTTCCCCTGGGGTTTTGCCATGTAGAGCCGTCACGGGAGTCCCTTTGTCTGTCTGAGCTGACTGCTCTGAGTGTGCAGGACACTGATTTTCAGTGTATAGAATAGAGCTTACATTCATTTGTGAACCTGAGTTAAATAATCACACTTTTTTTTTTTGTTTACCTAAGCAAGTAACACTATATTCTTAACTGGAATAAAGTCTGATTTTTGTTTTATTTTTTTTAAAGTTTCTATTATCCTGGAGCATTAAAAGGAAAAGTATTCTTGTCCTGTTTGGCTGGAAACCCCCGAATTGGCCATTACCTCTGTTCTCCCAGTGGAGGCAGGAAGAACTTGAAATTCTCTGTAGGGTATTCTGTTTAAATTTCAAACCGCTTCCATATGTTCTCTTTCCATCTAAAAGCTACTGCTTTAGTGACTTTTTAATCTTTTGGTAAATATATCCTATGTATAAACGGCTGCTTATTAGCCAGAAAGGTCAGCCCTTAAGGGTGAGCCAACCCCAAATGTCACCTGCCCGCGCTGTCAGTAGGAGGGAGCCGCCTCTCGCTGCCAGGGAAGGGGGCTTCCATGGAGGAGGTGTCACCAAAATCTGCAGCCACTTACTTAAACATCGTGTGTGTTGTGTGAATGAGAAAATAACCTCTAAAGCCTAATCATTGTTGGTGTTTTAAGGTCTAAAATATTTATTTTGTAGTATTAAGTTATTGCAAATTTCACCTACTAAGAACGCTTACAGAAGGGAAAAATGCTGGATAACAGGTTAATTTGGGGACAATTTCATTATTCAATAAGTTTTGCATAGTTTTTTTAATCTGGTTACTCTGGTCTAATTTGATTCTGTGCTCAATTTTTTTCAAATGTTGACTTATTGCTGATGTTTTCAATAAATGATTGTGCTTTTAGAGGAGAACTGACGTAGTTCAAAACTAGACTTTTACCTATTGCATTTTGATTATCAATATGGAGTTTTTAAAGCATTCTTTTAGCTTAATAGTGCAGTTGAAGACTTAAAAAAAGTACATATTTGTTTTGTTGATGCATGATTGTTCTAATGTTGAAAAGTTAAAAGAAGATAGATTGTGTTTGTTTGCTTTTGAAATAATGCTTTTTTTCTCCAAAAGCCTTTTGTAACCATTTTATGTATTCTGTTTTATAACAAGTGGATAGACTTTACAGTTATGTGCTGTGCGGCCTGTCAATCAGTTCAGTCTGACAGCTGTAATCACTGACACGCAAATATTATGGGATTCCCTAGTGAGGAAAGAATTGGTATCTCTGTGTGGTGACTTTAGCCTCCCGCAGTTCCGGTACTTTACATTTTTTTAGTTTTTTTCCTTGTGAAGTGATGAGAGTTGTACCTGCAATGTGTTAACTGCCAAAAAAAAAAAAAAAAGACTTCTAAATACACCTGAAATATTTTCAATTTATTTTCCTTTGATTTTGAAAGTGCTTAAAACATAAAAGAAAATTTAAGGCATTTAACCTGAAGCTTTCTCAGTCTGTTTAAAAGTCCAAAATCTTTATTTAAGGAGTATCAACTTTACAGAAATCTTTAACGTAAGGGTTTTAAGTTATATTATGTTTGGATTTTGCTTCGCTGAGTGCTGGCTGGTTGGCTGGTGGCGGGGCGGGAGGTTTCTCAGGTTTGATGCAGGTTCCAGGGAGGAGGTGCCCCCCTGACACCCCGGGCGGGAGAGGAGGAAGCGCGTCTGGGCTCGAGGGTGTGGGGAAGGGTCCGTGAGCTGCTCGGGGGCTGTCCCAGGACTCTGCCTCCTGCCGTGTTTTCGGGATGAGCCGTGCCAGGGGATGAGCCTGACTCCCTGAAATGTTCAGCTGCAAACCCCCTGCAGCCGCTCTGCTGACGGCTCTGTCATCCCTCCTGCAACAACATCTCTTAGCAGTTTTCTTGCATAGTATTCACAGAATATTGGGCAGGGACATCTTCAGCTGGGTCAGGTTGCTCAAAGCCCCCTCCAGCCTGGACTTGAATGTTTCCAGGGATGGGTCACCGACCACCTCCCTGGGCAACCTGGGCCAGGGTTTTACTACCCTCAGTGTAAAAAATTTCTTCCTGATATCTAGTCTAAATCTCCCCTCTTCTAGTTTAAAATCATTACCCCTTGTCCCATCACAACAGACCCTGCTGGAGGCAGCACTGGGAGGGGGGATCTCCCCAGAGCAGAGCAGAGGGGCAGAATCCCCCCCTTGCCCTGCTGGCCACGGGGCTGGGGATGCAACCCGGGGTGTGGGGACTTTCTGGGCTGCCAGCACATGTTGCCAGCCCATAGCCAGCTTTACCCCAGCCCCCCCAAGCCCTTCTCAGCAGGGCTGCTCTTCATCTCTCCATCCCCAGCCTGGGCTGGGACCAGGGGCTGCCCCCACCCAGGGGCAGGACCTGCACTTGACCTTGTTGGACCTCATGAGGGTCACACAGACCCACTTCTCCAGCCTGCCCAGGTCCCTCTGGATGGCATCCTGTCCCTCAGGAATGTGATTCTGCTTAGTGGAGCTAGTTACGGTGTATAGACACACTAAACTTGCAACATCATAGAGTTGTTATCTTAAAAGACGATGCCTTGGTGAGATGTCTGTGGCTCAGTGGCTGGTTTCTCCTGCAGTGGGGCAGGAGCTGGGTGGGTGGGAGCCAGGGGGTGCTGCTGGAGGCACCTGCAGAAGCATCTCCCTGCAGATGGTGGAGGTGCTCCTGGCTCTGGCTGTGTGGTGCTGCTGTGCCACGGGGCTTCCACAGCGTTGAGGGTGTGCAGCTTTTATCCTGTGGGGCAGGTCTGTGTGCCTGTGGGATTTGTGTAGACACTTTGAGATACCCTTACTTTATAGACTTCTGTAGTAACGTCTGAGAATTGTGTGATTTTTAACAAATATTTCAAATGCCATGGCTTAGAAAGCTTCATCTTTTTGATACTGCATGCATGTTTTAAGATGTTTTGAAACAACATTCTTAATTTTACAATGAATAAACAGTTTGCTTAGCATTTTGTTCAGCTGCTTTAAGAAAAAGTGGTAGTGCTGTAGATGTAGAGCAACTTCCCACTGGCACTAACCAGTTGTTTCTGATCCCTGTTTACTATCTTAATCTCTCTGTTGAGATAGTAAAGAGAAAAAGCCTATAAAGCCTCTTAATGTTTATATGCTAGCGTTGAGAAGAAACTAAAGTTATGGTTGGGCAAGGCTGCAGGGTGTTGGTCCTGGTCTCCGTTTTCCCTTGCATTCTGTAACTAAGGGTGTTCAGAGCAGGGGATGTGGCAGTTCTCTGCCCAGCCAGAGTCCGTGTGCCCCCCTCCCTTGTGCTTTACAGCCAAAGAAAACTGCTTTTCTTTTTTTAAAGGGATGAGGAGGGGAGATAAGGAGCAAAACATGAATGGCCAGCACTTCCCCGGGGGCTTGTGGTTTTTAATTGGTGTTAAATCACGGCCGGGCTGTCTCTGTGCCCGGCGGGGCTGGGGTGCTGTGAAGGCAGCTCCCCCCCTGTGCCCGGGGCCCCGGCCGGTCCCTGCACCCCCCTCCCCTGCACCCCCTCTCCCCCCCGGGCTGGGGCTGGGTGCCACACCAGAGCTCCCCCCACAACCCGGGGAAAGCAAAAGGAGAAAACAGCTGGGAGCTGAGTGCAGCAGGAACAGGGGGATCGTCTGCCCCAGAAAAAAGCCGTGTAATAAAGGCACAGCGGTGCTCCTGCAGCTGCTGGTCCTGGGCTTTGGCTGAAAACATGGTGGCTGGAGATAAACCCCAGTGGGATTGATCCTCTGCCAGCCCCCGGCTGTGGCTGCTGCTATGGACAGAGTGCCAGCCTGCCATTTCCAACTGAAAAACAAGACTAAAACTTCCTTAAACTGTCACGTATGTGTGTGTATATCCATCTTAAGTGTAATTGACATAATCACCATATGTGATTAATTCTTTATTGGTTAGATCCATCTTAAGAAATTGCTCTTTATCAGCAGATCCAAGTATTTACCTCTGTTCATTGTACACTTGGAGGATGAATCCATTAGAACTTGATTTATCTAGAGCCCTGCTTAAAAATGCATAGTATTTTATATAGCAGTAAAAATGCTATAATGTAGAATCAGCAACTTGTTACTTTGAGAGAGATATATATATATAAAAAATCTCAAAAAAGAAGCTTAAATTGGATTAAAATGATAAAAAACTGTATTGGTAAATCATTCTTTAAAGAATACAGTTCATCTAAGATGTAGCAGATTTCTTAATTGTATCTGCTTTAGTAAAATTGTCCCATGGGGAAGTGATTTTAGATGCGGTTATGTCTAAATCCAGAGTTTTAGTGATTTTGCTAAATTGTAATGGTATGTAATGTTAATGTGCTTCCTCTCTTGGAGGTAAGTCGACGCCTTTTTTCATAAGAGCAAACTGTTGGGTGTCAAAGTGTCTTTCTCAAGGGTGGTTGTTCTGTTTCCGTCTGTAAAACAGATCAAAATGGACTTCTTTGAGCTGCTGGCAAACCACCACCTGGACAGTCAGTCTCGCTGGAGCAAAGTGAAGGACAAAGTGGAGACTGACCCGCGGTACAAAGCGGTCGACAGCTCGTCTCAGCGGGAAGACCTTTTCAAGCAGTACATAGAGAAAATAGCTAAGGTGCGGGCGTGGTGTGGGACTGGGGGTGTTTTGCTGGGCACGGGGCTGCTAATGAGCGAGGTAACGAACCAGGAGATAAGCCAAGAGGTGCTTTAGGTCCGTACTGAAGGGAGCTCTATACCATCGTTACTTGTAGAAGCATCCCAGAATGACTGCTTGAAACTTAGAACTGCCATCCCTGGTGGGGGTGCAGGGATGTGTGTGTGCACATGGTGTGTGTGTGTGCGTGGTGCGTACACCCACACTGTACTGAGGAGAATTTATCCAGCAGAGTAGGAAGGGCAGAGACTCCTGTAAAGCCTTTGGTTGTAAAAATGGCTGTAAAACTACAGCAAACCCAGAAGCCACACTGATTGCCTCTTGCCAGGACGGGCAGTTTCCTTTGCTTTGGTTTTTGTATCAGCTGAGCTGCCTTCAGGAATACAGACAGTTCTCACACAGTTCCTTTGCTGGTTCTTCTCTCTTAATTCAGTATTCCTACCTTTCTCTTCAGGCAATGAATGATTGAGAATGTAAAACTGGGCTAATGTGATTCCACTCTCCCCCTGCCCTCCCCTTATTCAGTTTGTCCCTGCACAAAACCAGCCTGCTCCTGAGAATGGTGGTTCTGTGACCAAACCTCTCTCTCCCCTCTGCAATGCTTCACCATAGCCGTGGCAGCAAAACATTGTATTCTGTAGATCTCAATTCACCCTGCAGTATTCTGTTCCAATACGCCGTTAGTTTGATAACCCTTTAATTTACTTACCTGCCTGATGAGAACGTGACAGGGGTGTGTTGTTTGTATTGAGAGAGGGTTGTTCTTGCACTTCAGAATTTAGACTCTGAAAAAGAGAAGGAGCTGGAGAGACAGGCTCGCATCGAGGCCAGCTTGCGTGAGCGAGAAAGGGAAGTGCAGAAAGCTCGCTCGGAGCAAACCAAGGAAATCGACAGGGAACGGGAGCAGCACAAACGGGAGGAGGCCATCCAGAACTTCAAAGCGCTTCTGTCTGACATGGTGAGACACGCTTGGGCTGTCCCAGCATCCTTTCTCTAGTCGTTGCACTATGCAGAGGCTTTTGGGCACTTGTAGTTAAGTAGTGTAGTTAAAAAAAATACTCATCTTTTGTCTCAGGTGCGTTCTTCAGATGTGTCGTGGTCTGATACCAGGAGGACTCTGCGCAAAGATCATCGGTGGGAGTCTGGCTCCTTGCTAGAAAGAGAGGAGAAGGAGAAGCTCTTTAATGAACACATTGAAGCACTTACCAAAAAGAAGAGGGAACACTTTAGGCAACTTCTGGATGAAACTTCAGCGGTAAGAACTGTGTGTATTCACACTGCAGATCTTTGCCTGTCATCTTCTGGATGTGTCACACAATCCCATTTGGTTTTATTTCCAGTGCCCCTTTGCTTCACCACTGTCTCTTCTTTTTCATAACATGATTTGTGCGTCATGTTTCCTTACCTGTTTAGCTCCAGTGTTATTTTGATTTAACATGTAGTTCTTTTACATTTAACCTTCTAATCCGTGATCTCTTTATCTCCTGCAGGATGTTACCTTTCTTCAGCACTGAGTTCTTTGCTACTCTTTACTGTGTGGCATCTTGCTCTTTTAGATACCCAGTGTGTTTGTCTTAACGAGTCTCAGTGTATAATCTTACCGGGTTCATCATGTTCTGCTTTACCTTGTGCTGCTGAACCTGCACTTTCATTCTGTGTGATGCTGTGGGAACGCATCACCCCTCTGTGTGCGGGGGGTTGGGGAGTCCTGCTCTTTAGTTACCTGCCAGCTGCAGCTCTCTCTTAACCTGGGGGTTTGTACCTCATTCTTTAATGCATTTGTTAAAAGTGCTTAGAACACAAGGCAGATTTTTAGTGTGATAGAGTAAAATGACAGGCACGTACCTCTGGAGCAAGTTTTCTGGAGGTAATTTTTAACAACACATTCATGTACATAAATATGAGCTAGGAAAAGGCTTTGGGATGGAAATTATGTTTGTGAGGACTTTGATCTGAAAATGCCATCTCAAAATACTAAAGAAAAGGAGGTATCTAAAATCAACTACTTAAAAATACGAACGTGTTCGTATAAAAAATAACCCCACACCACAAAATGCAGCAGTGACCCTGTCAGTGGATTCCAGAGATGTTTAAAAGCTTATAAATGGAGTGGAATAATATGGAGTAAAATGGAGTAATATTTACTTTCCATATTCTTAGAATCTAATTTTCTTTTAATTTAACTATTTTTGCTTCTTTTGAAAGATAACTTTAACATCAACGTGGAAAGAAGTGAAAAAAATCATTAAAGAAGATCCAAGGTGCATTAAATTTTCCTCGAGTGACCGGGTAAGCGGTTCGTGTGGCTGTTGTCACTGTGCAGGGTGATGGGCTGGCATGGTTTCTGCTTTGTCTGAGCAGAAGTAGCATTGTTTAAATAAGACTGGCATGGTTTCTGCTTCATCTGAGCAGAAGTAGCATTGTTTAAATAAGAATTTGTTAAAATTAAAAATGTAAAAGATAAGGAAAAATAAAGTTAAGATGTAATTACTGCTTACGTTCAGTATGTTGCTGCATTCAGTGCTTTAGGCTTATCTTTTCTCGTTCAGTATGTTGTTGCATTCAGTGCTTTAGGCTTATCTTTTCTCTTCCAGAAAAAGCAAAGGGAGTTTGAGGAGTACATCAGAGACAAGTACATCACTGCCAAAGCCGACTTCCGAACGCTATTGAAAGAGACCAAATTCATAACCTACAGGTCTGTAGTATAACGGCAGCAAAGGACTAATTTATTGTTGTGCTTTTCCATAGAAACAGCAACAAACTGATGTCTCTCTTTTCACTGAGCATAAGCTGGTGTCTCAGTTACATTTTTACAATCTTTTAGTCTGTCAAAAAAAAAAAAAGGTCTGTAGCAGCAGAGACCTCTTTCAGCTTTACTTTGACATTTTTGCTGCTGCCAAAACAAGCAGTGACAATGGAAGCAGTGCAGGAGCGGGCTGCTTTTTGCTGCAGAGCAGTGTCCTGTGGCAGCACCCGAGCTCTCGGTGTGTGTCCATCCCTGGTTCAGACTCCCAAGTGGTCAACACTGAAGAGAGGACTCTGTTCCAGGACTGGGAAGTAGGCAGAAAAGAAATACTGGTTCCCTTGAAATTTATAAAAAAATCCTCATCAATAATTTGCCTGGTTTCTGTGGGAGGATTTCATCCAAAGGGTGGGGAGGTTTCTGAAGCAGTTGGCTTTCCCACTCTGTCTCGGGGGATGGTGAGGCTGATACAGAACCGTGGGTACGGACCAGAACAGGTTTCCCACCAGGAACAGCAGCTCACCTGAACAGCAGAGCATGAAGTGAAGCTCTCTGGATCCTAACGAGCGACGCCGTTCCCTTGAGTCAGCGCCGGGGTGGCTCTGGGTGCTGCCATCAGTGAGTGGGATGGTGCTGAGACTTCCACCTCCAAACCCTGTTTGCCTCATTTAGGTGCTGGATTTAAAACTCTGATTTTATTTATTTCATCCCCTCTAGGTTTTAGTATTTGTGTAGTTCATGTAGTGCTGAACAAAGCTGCTGCAGCCAGACTGGAGTCTTCCATGGTGCTTAATTACCGTGGCACAGATGTAGGCAGGAGGCCATTATTTCCTGAGCACTGGGTGCTGTTAATGACCCAGAGGAGAGTCCCCGCTCGGCTCCTGCAGCACCCCTGCTGGGACTGCAGCTCGGGGTGTCCCGCTGCAGCCAGACTAGAGTCTTCCATGGCACAGATGTAGGCAGGAGGCCATTATTTCCTGAGCACTGGGTGCTGTTAATGACCCAGAGGAGAGTCCCCGCTCTGCTCCCGCAGCACCCCTGCTGGGACTGGGGCTCGGGGTGTCCTGTGCCACCCGCAGCGCTCCAGGGGGTAATTCTTGCCCTTCCTTTCAGATCCAAAAAGCTGATCCAGGAGTCAGACCAGCACCTGAAGGATGTGGAGAAGATACTGCAGAACGACAAGCGGTACCTGGTTCTCGACTGCGTCCCGGAGGAGCGGCGCAAGCTCATCGTGTCCTACGTAGATGACCTGGACCGTCGGGGGCCACCTCCACCCCCCACAGCCTCAGAGCCCACCAGGCGAACGACAAAATAGTTACAAAATACTCTTAGGCCAAGGGTATCTGTTAAATCCAAAAGCTTGCATGAGCCATCTGTCAGGTTTATACATACACATTACCGTGAGTATATTGCAAAACCATCTGAGGAGCAGAGGAAGAAGCAGCATTTGTGAACATGAAATGGTCTTGGGGGGGAACCAACACCAAAAAACCCACGTTAAAGGTATTTGAGTTTCTTTGGGGCAGGACTGACGAAGGGCGAGCCAGTGGGCCCTGCGTGGTCCCCCCCGGGGTGGGAGCGGTGCGGTGTGTGTTGAGGGGTGGGTGTCTGACAGCCCCTTCTCAGCAGTCCTGGGGAGGAGTGTGGTGTGAGCGGGCACTGCCTGGGTGCCACCAGCGTCCCCTGGGCCAAGTGCTGGCTCGTAGCTTAAGTTATTGATGGCTGATGGTCACCTTCTGGGAACAGAAGTCCCCGTTCTCTGCTCGCTCTCACCCCTCAGTCCATCCCAGTCAGAGGTGAGGGGGAGACCAGATCAGGTTTGTTCACAGCTCTGCTTTGTTCCTTACCCTGCCCATGAATTAGAAGCAAAATTGGGTTGCTCTGCCCAAGTGAAGATTTGTCTAATAATTTTTACTCGAAGTGGGAAACGCCTGGTAAATGCCAGTGGGGACAGCGCAGGACAGGACGGTTGTATAAACACATTTTTATTTACGATAAAGTGATCTTTACATACTTCTGGATTAGACTGTGGATTTCCCCTCTGGGCAATTCTTGTAAACTATACTCCTGTTTTGAATGTTAAACTTGTGTTTCTAAAGTTTAATTTTGAAATGTTGGGATTGTTCAGTTTATGTATTTGAACTACAATAAACCAACCCTTTTTATATATGGATTGTACAGGCCTAATACCAGTTTTTGTTGGATTTTGTTGGACTTGTGAATTTACGAGTAAAGCAAACGACTGAAGTCCTGTCGCCTACGTTCTTGGCTGCGTTTGGCAGAGCAGCCCCGGGGAGCACGGGGTCAGAGCAGCAGCAGGAGCTGGGCACGGGGCAGAGGCAGCCGAGGAAAACTTTTCTAATTGAGTTCATTAGTCTTTTGGGTAAGTGTGAAATGGTGGGGACGGGGGTGTCAAAGTATTTCCTTCTCTTCTGTGTTGGACATGAGTCTCTTCCTCCGAGTTGAGGGGTGGGGAGGGATTCATTCTCCCAGGAGAAGTTGATTCTTTTTCCCAGCAGTTCCCGTTTTGGTGGCCGGGACCCGCAGCACCAGCAGGAAGGTTGTTCAGACCTGGAGCCTGGGGAGGGGTTTGTGAAACCTGGGGCCTGTAGGAGAATGTGGCTGCTCCTGAGGAGCCTGTCAGCCTGGGCAGACCCTCCCTCACTTCCCTTCATTTTTAACACGTTCTCTGTGTTGTTTTCAAATGTCGGATGCCCTACGAGTTTTGGATTGTCTGCTCCAGGTGGAGGGGTCTCATGATTATTTGCTCGCACCCGGGGACGGGGTGAGGACCGAGGGGCGCGCGAGGAGCTGGCGCAGGAGCGTGGTACCAGGTGAGCAGGAGCGTGGTACCAGGTGAGCAGGAGCGCGGTACCAGGTGAGCAGGAGCGGTTTCCCCAAAACAGCAGAAGGTTTTTGCTGCAGAAACCGTGATTCAGAAAAAAGTGTTGTCTCAATGAGCGTCCCCAGGTGGGACCCATCCCTCGCAGCTCCTGCCTGCGACAGGGACAGCACTTGCCCTCCGCAGCCAGCGCTGCTCAGAATAAAATCTTCATTTTTGGGAGCAAACCAAGAGTCTACTGAGCCACAGTGCGGGAGGTTTGGGCAGCGGGGGCTCAGAGGGCTCCAGCAGACGGCGGTGATGCTGACACAGGTCACCTCATTCCAACAGCACAGGGTCCTCTGTTCCCCGGGGGACCCCAATGCCCACCCCGTACCCGGTGTGGCCCCCCCAGACCCCCCAGCCTGCGCTGTGCCCTCAGGTCTCCTCCAGAGTCCGTGGCCGTGGCCGGACGGTGCCCGGAGCAGACGCTGGTGGAGCTGAGCCCGGTGCAAATGGATTTATCTCCACTCGGTGCCTCCCTCCGGGGAACCGTGGGTTTTTATGGCTGTTCTAAAATATGGTGAACTTGTTCATTAAGTGAATAAGATTACTATTAATTTATCTTGTTTATGGAGACCAGATGTTCATTAACATTTATTTATCTGCTTATTCTGTGGATAAAGCAATTACGCCTGACGTACCAGGCCCCGCTGGGGGTGCTGCGGTGGCAGCCACAGCCCATCAGTGAAATAGTGATAGAAAATGAGGGCGTGTCAGCCCAAAAATAAAAATGTAGATAGATTACTTGGGACTGGAAGTTCTTATGCATTCCCACAAGTGAAGGTGAAATGTAATTAATTAAAATTAGAGTTCTGTGACTGTCATTAGCCACTGACCATAACCATCACTCAGCGCCAGGCACCCTCCCCCAGCACAGCCAGCCAGGGCAGCCAAGGGAAATCATCGGCTTCATGATAAATACTCTTCTCTTCCCAGCCCTGGAAGGACCTATTCCCCCATGGCTTTGCTCACTCTGAACCCCTGCTTTGCTCCCCACACCCCAGTTCATGGCAGGCTCTGGTGAAAGGCGGTGGTGACACCATCCCTCGTCCGTGGCACAAAACCCCGTTTCCATGGAGGTGAGGACAAATGTGGCTTCTTTAAATGTCAAAATCCTTGCTGGAAGCTTTGAAGAGCTCTCTGAGCACCCGGGACTTAACCGGGGGCTCTTTGGGAGGAAACGCCCTCGGTGCTGCTCTGGGGGGTGTCACCACACGGTGAGGAACAAACCAGGGCTGGGATCTGCGTCATGTGGATGGAGGTCATGCCGTTAATGTGAAGGTAAATGAGTGTCTGTTTGAATAACATTTCCTTGACAGTATAATCCATGCCCTGCAGCTTCTAATTAGGTGCTGCTGTTTAAATTCATCACCAAGAACAGCAGAGAATTAGCGACCAGGCTGCAGAGGGACTGACAGTTCCTTTTAATGCTTTACCAAATAATGAGATTTGTCCTGCTCTGGGGGGGGCGTTGGACACTCCTGGGGATTCACCATCACCACCCTCCCTCCCAGGCTCTCCCTGGGCAGACGTGGCACCGGCAGACCAAGGCTGGCCCTGGCCGTGCCACACCGAGCTCATGGACCTCGGCCCATCCTGCGCCAGAGTGAGAGGAGCCCCAGCTGCCCCGTGTCCTCCCCAGCTCCTCTGCAGCCTCCCCACAGTGCGAGGGGGATGTTGTGAGGTTGTCCATCCTCATCATGGCTAATTAATTGGCTGTGGGTGTCTGCATGGAGGCAACGAGCTCAGCTGCCACCAACGTGCAGCATCTCCCCCCAGCCCTGGCCGGGTCAGGGAGAATGGCTCAGCCCCACCTCAAGGTGGGGAACTGAGAGAAACGCTCCTCGGGGCCAGGAGCCATAAAGATATATGTTTATCTGTTTACTGCCCAGCCTGTGTGTGGAGCTAGAACTGTAGTTGGTTTCTATGATTTAAGGTGTTTGGTCTGAGATGAGGCTGAGGCCTCAACTCCCCCCCCCAGGGCACCTCCTTCATGGGCACAAATGTCCCCACGAATCACTGTGACCCATCGTTCCTGCGACGCCGGGCACCGGGGAGCCCCCCCTTTGCCAGCAGCTCCGGCTGGTGGCAGAGACCCTGGAGCAGGGCAGTGCCCGGCTGCTGGGCTGGCCCCTGATGCCGGGGGTGCTCAGGGGGTCCCAGTCGCTCCCCAGGCTCTGTCACCGGGAAGGAGGGTCCAGGCAGCTCCCTCTTCCAGGGGCCGGGCTGCAGGGCAAGAGCAATAGCCCTTGTCCCTCCACATTGCCCTGAAATGGGGGGTATTTAGTGCTGAGGCCAGGCGAGGGGCTGGGAGGGGAGGATGTTGCTCCCACACCAGAGAGCGGGACATCATTGTGGGCTGTCACCGCAGCCTCAGGGAGCGTCCCCAAACGGCACCAACCGGCCACGGCCCCGCGATGCCACGTCCCTTGGTTTCTCCAAGGCCCCCACGGCTGCAGCGAGCGTCGGGGCTGCAGCTGGACGGCGTTCCCCAGGGACCACCACGGAGCTGCCCTCACCCAGCACAAGGCACAACAAGCAGCGACACCACACACAGACACATTTGGGACAACTTTACTTCTGACACCAGAGTGCAGGCTTTCTTTACAGGAACCAAAAAAGAACATTTTTTTAAAAAATGTTTCATTTACTCTTGCTATTTTTTTTTTACCATTTCATTTTTTAAAAAAAAAAGTTACTCCTGAAAGCCATCACGTGTAACAAAGTTCTAAGCCAGTGCACTTTGTTTTTCCCTTGTCATCTCTCCTCTGACAGCAGCGAGCTCTCCCTGCGCTGCCGGGGACCCCGCAGCACCCCGGGCTCTGTCCCGCGGCCCGGGCACAGCCAGGGGTCCCCACCCCCGTTTTCCATGGTCCCTTGCTCCTGGAGCCGGCAGCGTTCGTGTCCCTGGGCGGGTGGAAGAGCTGGAGGCCGCGGTGGGACACATTGGGGAGCTCCTGGTGCCCCGTGGAGACTGTCCCGGGGGGCACTTTGCCCGTGGAGTCGTGCCAGGATGTAGGATGCGGGCGCTGATGGGATCCCCGCTGCCCCCCGGAGCGGATGCAGAGCAGGGTCACCTTCATGGAGCCACTTCTACAGTGACAGTGTTGAATTTGTTTTTTTTAATTGACTTTATTCATTTGCTTTTTGTTGCAGGAGCAGTTTTCAGATTGACTGAAACTTCAGTAGTTCTTTTTTTATCGAAAAGCTGCTCAAGTAAAAGAGGGACCTGAACAATCTCCAGAGTAGAAAGGGGCAGCCTTGCCATGCAAAGAGGAAGAGTTATTGTTTTTATTATTATTATCATTATTATTATTATTATTATAATGTAGGACCACAGACAGCCTCTCTCTGAAGCAGTCAGGTGCTAACAGCAATATACGGTTGAATTCTTTTTTAGAAGGTCATAAATTAGCAACCTATACTTTATCTTTTAAAAAGTTGAATAAATAAATAAATTAATTAAAAAAGAAAGGGAAAATGAGAGAGAGAGAGACAGTCACAACATGCAAGAGCTTACAACAGAACAAGTAAGGATGACCAAAGCAAAAGACAAGAAATGCAGAAGAAAAGCCCAGGTTCAATTTGGTTTGCAATCAATGCAGTTTGGAAGCATCATTTATAAAGGTATTTCGTATACCAAAAAAGGCACCACAGTATCCACAAAGCCAAATCCTCAGGAGAGTGTTGGGGGGGGGGGAGCAGCGGGGCCAGCGCAGACCCCGCTCAGTCGCAGCAGATCCCCCCTTTACGCTTGTCCGTTGCAAAGCTGAACTGTTCCGTTTTACGTTTGGTTTTGCTGTGTTGGTAAAAACACAAAATAATAATAATAAAAAGACAAATGTGAAAAATGGCAAAGGGGATGGTGTTCTGGTCTTGCAGCGTAACCAGTGGGGTATTTCTAGGACCAGTTTAACACAATCTGCTGTAACTAGAGCTGCCCCAGGGCACCCAGCTGGTGCCCGGCGCCCCTTCTCCCCCTGCCCAGTCACCACAGGGGGACACCAGTGGGGGCAGCCAGCCCCCCACCGCCGGGGAACCGCCACAGCCAGAGCCTCCACCTCCCCACCTCACGCCTTCGCTCTCCACAGGTAAATAAAGAGAAATCTGGTGTCTGCTGGGTGCCCCCCTGCCCTGGGGGGTGGGTGTGCTCCCCTCTGCACAACAGGAGCTGCAGAGCAAGGACTGAACAATGGAACAGGAAGGAAAAGGGAAAAAAAAAGACAGACTGACAGAAAGAAAGAAAAGAAAGAGCTGAAATCTTGTGTTTACTAGTATTCAGTACATGAGATTCCTAAAGACCTTGTCCTCCTAGTTAACCTTGTCCTGGAATATATACAGGTTATTTGTTGCTGCCACGGCGATGATGTTCTCGGAGGGGTGCCAAGCTGTGTGCAGGATCTTTTTGCTAAAGTCCAGACTGTCCACGCTGATCTCGTCTTTCCTGCGCTTGCCGCCCACGCAGACCTTGCGGGGCTTGAGGATGGCGCGGGGTTTGCTGTTCTCCCGCGAGGCCTCCAGCGTCACGTCGCGCTTGGTGTTGCGGTCGAACATGCGGAAGAAGTTGTTGTAGGAGCCGGTCATGATGACGCTGCGAGGAGGGAGGGAGGGAGGGAGGACGGGTCACCCTGGCCCCGCTGCCCACCTGGTTGTGACACCCCCAAACTGCCCAGACAAGGGGACACAACTGGGACACCAGGCAGCACGTCCCCACCCCACACCAAAGGGCTCAGGCTCGGTCAGTGAAGTGTCCCCATGTCCCCCCATCCTCAACCGAGGGAGTGTGCACAGGGCAGGCAGCTCCTCCCAGGACAACACCACATGTAGAGATCAGTCTTTACAGCAAAGATTTAGCCAACCTAAACCAAATTATTTTCACACCTTTTTAGAGCCTGAGTATCCAGAGGCATAACAAGGTTTGGAATTTGGGCTTCAGGCTCAGTTGTGCCTTGTTAACTCACACTGATGGTTCAGGGAGAAAAACGTGGGGATCCTGCCAGGTCAACTGGTCTGGCACATCTTCTGCCTCCTGGTGTGATTCACACGTGGGTAGTTGTGACACCCCCCCACACCCCCCCCCCCCACCCAGATTTTGGCAGTCTGGAGCCAAATGCATCACCACCCTGCTCCTGGTGTGGGTGATGGAGACAGGAACCCAACTCATCCCAGGTAGAGCTGGGTCCCCATCAGATGCCCTCAGCAGTGCCTGGGAACAGGGCTGTGGGTTTGGGTGACCTCCATGGTACCCACAGGAGAACCCTCTAGACCCCACACCCAGCCGAAGGTGGGGAAGGGACCACATGGGGACACGGGAGCCACCAGCCCATCTCACAGCATCACCCTCCAGTCCCAGCGGCACCTGCAGAGCCGGGTGCTGGGATGCTGCGGTGCTGGGGTGTTAAGGTGTCGGGGTGCTGGGGTGCCAAGGTGCTGGGATGTTAAGGCGTCGGGATGCCGGGTGCCGCCGTGCCACTCACCTGTCTGACCCGTTCCAGACGCACTCGAACTTGTCGAAGATGCAGTCGTTCTCGTAGAGAGAGCACAGCTTGCTGCGCAGGTAGTCGTGAACCTGCCGGGGAGGGACGGGCATGAGGCCCCTGCACCGGCCGGCAAACGCCAGCCTGGGGCTCGCTGGGGGTGAAGGACCCGGCCCCGTGCTCGCCGCAGCCGAGCCAGGCAGCGTTGGAGTCACCATTGCACATCCTGGACCACGGCCACCATCCCGCTGTGAGAAGCAGCACCAGAACCGCTCCATGTATGGCTCAAGCCACACCAGGGATGTCCCTGGCAGAGGGTGGCAAGGACCATTGCTCTGCCCCAACACCCTTGGGGCTGCCAGCACCTGCACATCCCCTCCTCACCCTCACCTGACCTGGGGACATGGGTTACAACTCACCAGGCCACTCGAGTCCACATTTAACAGTTCTCTGTTTGCTTTCCATGATTTAACAGCATGACGTGCCCATCCATCAGGATTGTCCCTGTCCCCTCTGCTGCCGGTCCAGGAGCATGGCTTGGGGAAGAGCACGGTGGGTGCCTGATGGCTGTGGGTGCCCAGACGTGTCACACTCACCTGGTAGGTCTCAATGGGCCGGTTCTCCATGTTCAGGTCCCACACCTTGACGGTGAGATAGTCTCGGGTCATGATATACCTCCCACTGTGGCTGAATTTGACATCGGAGATTGAGGAGATGATCTCAGAAAAAAACGAGCGGTTACTTGGATCTTCGGGCTCTTCAAAAACTGTGGAAGAGGAAAGGACAAGCCCCGGCATCAGCCAAGGCAGGAGTTCCCTGTCCCCAGGACCAAGCACCACAGGATGCTCCTGGGTGGGGAGCGGGCACCCCCGGAGGCTCCAGACCTACAGACGGCACCTACGGACGGCATCACCGCCCCCGAGCCCCTCCAGCCCCCGTGCCACAACCCCCCTCTGCTGAGAGGAGGCTCCCGTGACCCCTGACATCACCGCAGTGGGACCGGCCAGTGCTCCCCACTGCTGGGCTTGGCCCACAGCAGACAAATGTTTGTATTTTAAGGACTTGGCACAATCAGAGCTCCTTTGTCTGCAGTGCCTGCAGTGAGGAAGCAGGACCATCAGAGACCCATCTATCAAGAGCACCAGGGAAGACCACAAGATTTAGAGCCTCGTCTGTCACTTCTGCCCTCTGGAAATCAATGCGCAGCATAACTGAAAGTCAATGTAAATATTTTATAGCTACTGCAACCTGCAGATTTAATCTGATCAATTTCTGAATAAATCACAGTTTGAACAGTTTGAAGGAGAATGATGAAGTTCCAAATTAAATGTATTTACAAATCTGATTTCAAAGTAACATCAGCTTTACAAAACCATCTCAGAGGTGCACCAGGAGACACTGCTGACAGGGGACATCTGTCCAGCTGCCTCTGTCGGCCCCTGCAGACAGCTCTCCCCCAAAGCACTGGAGCACACTGCTGGGTAAACGGAGAAGCTCATGAGCAAACCCTCCACTATAAAACCTCTGCCCTGGGGGCTGTTGGCTCCAAATCCCCAGTGCCAAAGCCTGCACCGAGCCCTGGCGTTGGTTCAGATTTGTCACCCCCTCGCTGAGCCCCTTGGTACCAATGTCTGAACTCCTGAGCATGGCAGGAAAAATGCCTGAAGTGCCAGTGGAAACGGTCTCTCCACAAATGAGACATGGCATTGCCCACAGCAGGACCCAGCTCCGCGTCCTTTCATCACCAGCAGGAAAGCTGATGGCATGTCAGGCTTTTTTAAATAAGAAAAGTGACAGCAACAAGAGAAAATAAAGATCTGAGGCAGTCTGGGGAGAGCATCTGAATGCCGTGACTTGTCTTTGCTGTGATCATCCCAGGTTTGCTCACACCGGGCCGGTCGGCGTCGTGAGGCTTGTTTTAATGCTGCATCGTTGCCGTCACGGGCACGTGTGTGAGCTCATGTCACAGCTGGAGGTGCTGGGCTTATAGGACAGGAGCAGGAGGAAATTGTTGCTGATGCTGCAAAAATAGAAAACGTTAAAAACTGAGGATCAACTGTCAAACAGGAAAGGCCTCAGAGAATGAACCCAGAGCTGAGGCAGCACTGAGATGAGCCAGCAAGGGTGAGACGGCTGCGGTGCGAGGGGCTGGAACAGCTTCCCTGAAGCCAGGTACCATGCCCCCAGCCGGGATGCAGGTACCATTCCTGCTGGCACAGTGTCACGTCCCCGCTGCCCCTTCCTCCAGAGAGTCTCTCTCCTCCACATCCTGCCCCGAGCAGCAGAGAGGGTCCTCTGTCCCCTTATGCCTGCGGGGAGCACGGGGGCATCAGCCCAGCAGCAGAGCGAGGGGTCCCGTGCCACATCTCCTCCGTGCCCAGGGACAGGGGGCAGGATCCAGCTGTGCATCGAGTCCAGTGCGGGATCTGGACCCAAATACAGTCCAGTGCAGAGGATCCACGGACTTTTCACAGCCCAGCGCAGCCGAGAGCCGAGGGCTGGCCTGGGACCCGGGGGAGCTATTTTTGCCTCCCGGCTGAGAGCTTTTGTGGGGCTTTGCTCCCGCTGCAGAAGCAGATCTGGGCTGCTGAGCTCATGGAAAGGATTTCTGAGCACTAATTCTCTGTTACACAACAAACCTATTTTCCTCTGACAGGAGCTGCCCTCCCTGCACCGTCCCCCCCGCCCCAGTCCCCCATCCCCAGCAGCTTCCCTGGCTCTCTCTCCTCAGGGACACCACCAAGCTGCCCCAGAGGGGCTCCCGAGCCCAGGGTGGCCCTGCTCCTCGGGGACACCACCAGCCTTTCCAGCAGCCGCGACGCAGAGCGTGGCTGGGCCTTCCTCCCCGGGGCATCCCCAAAGGGCAGCAGTGCCTGCCCAAACACAAGGGGGGGGCTTCCTTTAGAAATAGTTCTGCAAAATTGGCCAGGAAATACCTGTAAGCTGTTGGCTACCTTATCAAAGCATCTTTGTGGCCTCCTTATTTCTAACCAAAGCTGAAACTGTTTTCAGCAAGGAATAAACGTTGCTGTAACGCAGTCAGCAGGGAAAAGACAAGGGAAAGGTCTTCCTTTGGGAAAGAGGCTGCATTTTGAGCCTTCTGTTTGAGGAGCTTGGTAGGTACAATCACAGGTGACTCCTTAAAACAAAGAAGTGGAAAGCCCAATGCATTTGCCCTGGGGAAATAACTCTAGTAACCCCCAACAGGGTTTCTCTTCGCTTTCCCACACACTTCTCAGAGCAGGATTGCTTCTGCTGGTGCTCCAGGAATCCCCATCTCTCCTTCGGCTTCCTGTGACACTTTGGACAATGGCGATTTCTTCGTGCATCCCCTGCCAGGACCCCTGCCCCAGCGGTGCTGCAGCTCCGGCTCCACGCATCCCTGCAGAGCCCGCGTTCCTGGACGGAGGCTGATGCTCTCCCTGAGGCCAGTTCTGCCACTGGAGGAACACGCACGGTCTCGCAGATCACAGGAGCCCCACATAAAATGGGCAAACAGAATTTAATAAGAGAAGCACATAAGTAAAAGCTGGCCCTGAGCAGCACACTGCGTCTATCTAAATAAACATGACTGGGATGTGCAGCACTGTCTTCTGCATTTTTATTAAATATTGACAGTTATTAAATGTCTCCGTTGGAGGACTTGCTTCCAAAAGCCAATGTTGCTTTTCATTTTGAACTTTGATGAACTGTCTCAATTTCCACTCACACATCTGCTGAACCGCAATTGACTGCGGCTGATGCTTCCGAGGGATGGAGGGGAATCAATAAGGAAATGTCACGGGAGAGGTCAAACCCAGCCGGGATCTCACCGGCCGGTGTGCTCGCTGGGGTACCCACACAAAGGGAAATGCCAGGGGGGGCTTCTGCCGCCTGAGTGTCAGGAAAATAAATTTTGTTTGTGCCTTAATCGTGTTCTGGTCCTCAGCTGGGAGCTGCTACTGCAAGACTGCGACACACGGCCGCGAAATGCAAGAATAGAAAGGTGTGTTTTGCTCAGGATTTGGGAAAACTGCCACTTGGTATTTCCGAATCTCCAGACAGCGATGTAACCCTTCCTCTCCATCCACTGCACTCCAGTTTAAATCCAGGTATGAGGCTGCAACTGCAGCTCAGGAGCACAAAAGCAGCAGCTGGCGTGTAACTCCCTATTGCTGTAGGAAACCGAGACCTGGAACGCCCGGGCGCTCTCTGGATGAAGATTATCAGCCCCGGGCTCCAGTAACTCACACCCTCCTTGTGCGTGTTGTTCTTTTAACACAATCACACTTTAAATACTGAAAACCTCCTCAATTTCCCACAAGATACCGGCCACTTTCTGAAGAAAACTCAAACAAGGATGCGCAGGGGTTCATCCAGAAACGACCCCCGACACGTGTGGGCTGAGCAGGAACCGGGCTTGGCTGGGGAGGACCAGGGACAAGCTCCCCCCTGCCCAGCTTACCCGTTTCTGAGGGGGCTGTTCTGCACATCCTGACCCCCAAGGCATCAACTGCAGGACAGGAGGCTACTTGGACAAACAGCCTGACAAAATGCAGCTCTCGCTCTCTCTCTCCCAGCACCGACATCCCCGTGGTCACTGTGCACTGACACTCCCACAGCCCCTGGACCCAGCCATCACCCCGTGGCTTTAAAGGGTCCCCAAACACTGTGGGGCCAGGGCCAGGCAGGATGGAGGGCAGTCAGCTACAGGAACGCCGAGGGGCGGCTGGACCACCGCCTGGCACAGCGCAGGGAGGACAGGGCAGGGCAGGGAGTCCTGAGCCCAGGTCAGTCTCTGCACTCCCTTTTTGGGGCTCTTTTAATCCGAAGGACACCCTGTCCGGGCCGTGGGCTCTACTCACACTTGGCGTGGCGGTCGCAGAGGGCGGAGGTGCGCATGTCGCACAGCCGGATGGTGCCTTTGCTGCTGCTGTAGACGAAGGTGTTGCAGTGGTGGGGGTGGAACTCGGCGGCCGTGATCACCTCCGTCAGCTCCTCCATGTTGGCTGGTTTGATGTCCACGATGTCTGGCAGGGTGAGTCAAGGAGTCCCTGCTGCCCAGCCCAGACCCCACTGCTCCTGCTGCCCCTCCTGACGATGTCCCTGGCTCCCAGGCTTCCCCCCACCCTGTGACAACCAGGAGCCCCCCCAGGGGTGCTTGGGCTCGGTGAAATGCTGGGCTCAAAGCCGTGCTGCAGACCCCTTCCCCAGGCCCCGCGGGGGACGGTGCCAGCAAGGACCCACGTGGCCCCAGACAGCCCCCCGGCGCCGCAGGGGACGGCTGACAAGTGTCTGTCCCGGCCTGACACCGAGCCAGTGGTCACATGTGGACACAGCTTCAGATCCTGCAGTGCAATCCGGACAGCCAGCATGGGACAATATACACACCATGCAGAGGGAAAAAGAAACAACACCTTTTCTCACCCCCCTGGGAAGCAAATTAGGATCCTGGCAAGATCCTAATTAAAAACAAGAAAGACAAGGATATGACTTTCCCACCCACGTGGGGTGTTTTACAGCAGTGAGTGTCTGCAGAAGAAGCTGCTGCAATTCCCGCCCCTGTGAGGTTTCACAGCCCGGCCGTGCCACGTCTGCAGCAGAACTGGGGACCTGCTTCCAGCCAGACCTGGACCCCGCACAGAGCCCGGCAGGACAGCGATGGCTCCCTCCCAACTGCCCCAAGTCTGGTGATACTGGTGTCCGTGGGGCACTCTGACAGTCTGCGCCGAGCATCGGTACAGCACGGCACTGTCACCACGACACCGCACTCCCTGTGGGTCTGCACCGATCTCCTGACCCTCAGCAACCCTCCCACGACACCCCCATGCTTTGCTCAGCAGAGGTTTCCAGTCTCTGCTCCCTGAGGTTTTACCCAAATCAGCACTCCTCACCTTCTTCCCCAACAAGCAACATACATCACAGCTCTGCTCAACAGTACCCATGTTGAGCCCCCACCAGCCCCACGCCTGTGGCTGCTGAAATTCTCCCCAGCTGCCAAAAGTTGCCACGCGCCCTGGGGATTTCTCAGTAGAAATCGCTGTATAAATATCACTAATGATTAGTGCCCCGTTGCTATCATTTCTGATGCAGCTGCTACAAGGGTGACTGGCACGACCTCATTTGTGGGACGGTGACTGGCAGCCTGTCACCCGCTGCAGGGTATAATGGAGACTGCACCATTAATAGTTCCTCTCTCCCTCTTCCCCAAGGCATCTGTCTTCTCCGTCACCCACAGAGCCCCCTCTCTCCCGCCCGCCCCACGCACACCCTGCAGGCAAAATGCAAAACCGTGTCACCCGCACGGGGAGGCAGCAGCAGGGATGATGCCAGCTGAGCCCTGCACCGTGGAGGGACCGGCTTGGTCCCACAGCCAAAGGTGCCCGACAGAGACATCCCAGTGTCCCACCAGCATCCTGGCTCAGCCCGGGCAGAGATGAGAGGGACAAGCCTTGGTAATGTCACCTGGGGACGGGATTTCAGGTGTTCCACAGTCAGCAGCACAGAGCACAGCACTACATCATGCTCCTGAGCCCCTGCCAGAGGGGGAAGCTCCTGCACCGAGGAACCAGGATGGGCGAGCGGGCATGGGGCCAAGCGAGATCCCACGGTACCTGCTTGGTCCCACCAGAGCAGACATGGCCACGGCTCTACTCCTTCCCGCAGAGCTGGACCTCACAGGTCCCCCTCCACCACCCACCTTCACCGGGAACCTGCCTCCCCATCCAGCCTTCTTGTTCTCCCACCAACATCTGCCTGTCTCTGGGCTCCCAGGGCTTTCACACCCCACTCCCCAGCCGAACCATCTCCCTTATATCTGCCCTGGGACCGTCCCGGGGCCACGTGCACCAAAGGATACTAAAACTTTGATTTGTGATCTCAAAGTTCCAGAGGTTTATCCTCAGGTCGTCTGCCGACATGTAGGTCTCGTAGTCGCTGTTGACGGAGATGGAGTTGATGTGGTAGGTATGAGCGTTGGCAAACACCCGCCGGGGGGTGGCCTCCACCATCAGGTCCATGGGCCGGAGCACGGGTACCTGCGGGATGGGAAGCAGAGTGTCAGCACCCAGGGAAACCTCACGCCCTCCTAAACATATGGACAGAAGGACAAGCAGACACAAAAGCCTTTTACGGTTGAAAGAGGCACCAGTACAGTTAGATAGTTATGGGGCAGCCAGAGCCCAGTAAACCCGGCTCGGATCCCTGCTGCAGCAACTGCTCCTTCTTTGAAAAAAAAATAATAAAAACCACTTCTGCCTTGTTTTGTCACCATTAACTGGAATCTGAAACTCCTGGAGCATTTCTAACAGAAATGCATTTCTGGAGGGAGCCAGTCAGCACAGATTTTTATTTTAACTTCTTTGCATTTGCTTCACAGTGAAGCGAGGGAGGAAAGAGATGAGAAGAGACAGGAAAAAGGAACGCACGGGGCAGGGACAGATGGAGGGACTAGAACCAGGGATATACACCATCGCCCTTGGATTAATAAGCATAACTCATGTAAACATGGGGGGACGGAGGGATGCTGTAAGAAGAACATATGCAAGGAGCAGTGTAAGTAATAACTTCAGATGTAACGCTCTTAAGGCACCTTAATACCCGGGGAAGGTGTCAGTGCTGCACTCCCCTGTGCTGGAGCTGCTCCCTCAAGCCACTTCATCACCGTGTACATTATCTGTGCGCTGCCCATAGAGATTTCCCATGGCTGCCGAGGTGGGGACAGGCGTGTGACAGCCAGCTGGAGTGACACGGGAGCACAGGGACTGCCAGCGCAGAGCCTGAGCTTAATGTGACGAGCCTGCCTGCTAATTCCACCTGACACGGCCAATGATGCATCGTTTGCTGCTGAAGGGCTCTGCTCAGCCATCTGGGGACGGAGGCTCCCGCTCCGCTCGGGGGTTACAGGGGACGGGCTGTCGTTCAGCCCGACGGAAACACGATGGTTGTGCACAGGGGAAGGGTTCATCAGCTACACCAGGCCTCTGTGGGCGAAAAATAAGCATGGCCAAGGCTTTGGCAGGGGCTCTCGGTGAGCGCGGTGATGCCGTGTGGCTCCGTGGGGTCACAGCGCAGCCCAGCCAGAGCCCTGCCGCGTGCAGCAACCAGGGATAAGCCATTGCCACTGCCCGCACCCGGCACAATGCCCGGCCCCATTCCTGTGGGGCAGCCAAGAGAAACTCTTCAGCCAAGAAAATTCACCACGTGTTACCTCAGAGCCAGATTGTGGGGAGATTTTTTTATGTCTGGAACTTGTTCTGGCAGCAGGTAAACTCCCACGAGAGGAACACGCCTGGTCATCCCTGAGTATTTTGCTAAGGCAGGATTTCTTACCAGCTGTGGTGGCAAGAACCTGCACTGGAATATGGAAACCAGCAAGTGTCCGTGCCCCTTCTCACCATATACTGCCAGCTGTAGCTTAAGGGTATCACCAATAAGTATTTAAACCTGAAAGCACTGACATTTTGTGGCAGGAGGAGCTGGGAAAGCACTGGGAGCACACCTGGGCTTGGGGTCTTGTCCCTCGGCAGCAGAACCCTGAAGGGAAGCAAACCCCGTCCCGAGAGGCCAAGGGGAGTGGCTGCCGCCGGTGCAGGATGGGCCCAGCCTGAGTTCAATGTCTTCTTGCAGAAACCTGCCCCGAATCTGTCTGGGAACGCCAGGGAGGCCAACCTGAATCCATGCTGACAGCCCGAGGCCAGCACCGGCCCTGATGGCCGCCCTCGCTGACACAGGAATGCCAGACAGAAAAGAGCCCTCTGCCTCCCTCATCCAGCCGGCTGCCTCTGGCCAAGCTGGTCCCCAGCCCCGTGACTCCCAGCCCCGCAGCCCCTTCCAGCGGGACAGACCACCCGTTACACTCCTGCCCAAGGCACAGCAAGGGAAAGGAGTGGGTGGTTTGGGGGACGACCCCACAGCCATGCTGTCCCCAGCCCAGCCGGGCGGCAGCGGTCAGTGTCGGTGAGGAGAACGCTCCTAACGAACCGGGACACATGGCAGCAACTTAAACTTGGCGCTTTTTTTTTTTTTGAAGCACAGGGAGTCCAAGCCAGCGTCTGCTTAAACCCCCTGGCCTCCCCCAGCTTCGCCATGGTGATCCTCCACCGCAGAGACCCCCCCAGCGCATCCCTCCTCCAGCTCCAGAACCACCGGCAGGGCAGGCGCTGGTGTCACATACACCCATTATTAAAGGGTAATTCAGTGTAACAAACCGCATCAAGTACATAGAAAGGCTGTCAAATAAAATAAACCACTAATGAATTAAATTAGCTGTTTTAAGGAAGCAGGGGGGGGGAATGCCAGTCATTTTTCATCTAAAACAAAATACGTCTTAATTTTTCTTCCTGCCTTTAGCAGCAATCCCTGTGAAAGAGCCGGCCCCACTCATTCAGAGCACACGACACTCATTCCTCTCTCCTCGCCTGGCGAAGGCTTCCCCTTTCCAGAGTTAATGAGGCACTAATCCTCCCTTCAGCTGTAAAACTCATTTTCTCCGTGGCTGGGGGGTGGAGGGAGCCGACGTGCCCTGGCCCCGTCCCCTTGCCAGCACTGCGTGTCCCCCCACCACCTCCGTGAGTGCAGGTAACGCCACGTCAGTCCCCGCTGTCCCCGCTCCCGTCAGCGTCCCCCCTCTCATTGCCTGTCATGTTGACTGTCACCAAGCGCCCCCCGCTCCCGAGGGAATTGCTTCATGTGGCAGAGTTTCTCCTCCTCATTTACAGCGCCGCGATGGCCCCGATGGCCACGGCCTGCAGAGATGTGGAGATTTCTCAGGGAAACCTCATCCCCTGTCCAGAGGTGCTGCAGGGCATGTGGCGTTCTCAAAACACAAGCCCAAATACAGGGGAAAAGGGTAAAGCCTCAGCTCCCGGCAGCTGTGGCCACATAACCGGCCACACACACGAGTCCAGTGGGGGCTGTGTCCGAGCTGCCCTCTCTGGTGCCAGCTGAGCGGCAGCGGGGCCAGGCACAGCCCGGTGCCATCAGCACAGCCCCGCGGCTGACAGCATGGCCCCGGCTAGCTGGCAGGATTTGGCCACATGGGATTAGTCACAGCCGGAGCCTAGATTAACCCCAGCCCTGGGTTTGCGGGAAGGAAGAGGTAATCCCCTTCCTAGCAAAGCAGGAGCAGAGGGAGCTGCATGGGGATGAAGGCAGCGGGTTCCCCTCCTGCCCCAGCAGCCGAGCTCCCCGAACGTGCTCCCCCATGTTTAGCGCTCACCTACAACAGGTGTTAACTGGCCAACGCCACCCACAGATTAATATTTTGCAGACAAAATGTGCATCAAACACTACTTTCATGGCAGACTGACAATTTCATGCTCTTCAGGATTTTGGCTTACTGGAGTGTCCCCATGCAGCATGGAAGGTACCCCCCGTGGGAGGACAAACCCGCTCTCTCATTCCTGGCCGCTGGAGCTGACAGAGCTGCTGGGCTCATCTCTGTTCCCCAGACATCCCCCTCCCTGCTCGGATGGCACTGACACCGGCTACCCAGCCTTTCTTCATACCGTGAAACGCAGCCACAGACTCGCTGCCAACCAGAGATTCACTTCCATGTCTGCAGCTCCAAAAGGTGCTGGCTGCCCCAAAAGGGCCTGGGTCCCAGCAGGGAGTCAATGGGAGGGGGAGGACCATGGACACCAGGTCCACGGGGAGGATGGTGCAGGCAGCACATGGAGGAGGCTGCTGGCACACCACAGGGCTCCGGCACTGGGGATGCCCACAGAACGGCCTCACACCCTGCCCCGCTGCGTGCCGAGACCCCACCACACCGTGGGAGCTGGCAAGGTCCCTGCCCCGTGTCCCTCCGGAGCCCCCAGCCCCACGGCAGGGCAGAAGGGGGCTGTCATCCCAGGCAGAGGCCAACGGTAGCCATTTGGCAGCGGGTCCCCTCTGCAATGGGGATGAGCCGCGGGAGGGTCTGTTGGCTCCGCTCCATCAGCTCCCAGGTGCCAGCTCAGGGCCTGAAGGTAGCCCACGTGGGCCAACGGGTTGGGCCGCCAACACAAATACCTCCCCAAACAGGGCCAGTTCAGGAAGGGTTTTTAGTGCAAGGCTGACTTTTAGAGCACTGACTGCAAGTGTCGTTCCATGCGCAGCCCCAATCATCCCAGATTTCTCGTTCTTTGTATATTTTTATAGCATGATAGGATTTTTTTTTTGTTTGTAACTGAGAATTTGTCCTAGTTCAGCTCTTACGCTCCAAGATTACTTTCACCATCTGTACCTAAACTCTGAAATAAGTTTGCAGAAATCTCAAAGAACAAACAGAACATCTTTCTTATTTGAAGTTAAAAACCCTGAATGCTTCATGCCAATCTCATTAGAATTGCATTCCCCTTGAAGATGCAATTGTTTGAAAAGATATTTTTAAATTCCCTTCTCCTGCTGAAAAAGAGGCAGTGTCAGTAAAATCCCACCTAGCACTTTACAATATTCCTGCTTTTCCAGGCAGAAGCGTGCAGAGGCACAGCCCCGCTACCAAACACAAACCCAAAGCAATCCAAACCCGGGCGATAACTCTGCTTGCTCACTGCTTTCACAGGACTTCAAGACCCAGACACCAGCAGTGTAATTGCTACGGAAAGAGAGATGAAAAAAAATATCTCAAAGCTCAGTTCTGGCCACCAGCAATTCAAGGCAAGTTTACAAATATTAAAAGGATGAATAATGAGTTTTCACCAGAAAATAAAGAATTCACCTCATGACCTGAGAAAAAACAAAAAAAAAGACGAGAAAAGCAGCAGCCAAAAGGGGCTCCTTCAATTCTTTTCCAGTCCCCACAGGGTGACACCGGAGGGGTGGTGGGGTCGTCCCCACACCACAGACCGGCTGCGGCCACCGCCATGTCCCACCAGACCCTCCTGTGCCCTGGGCCATGGTGCGAGGGGCTGCGCTGCCCGTCCCAGGGGAACCACCGTTTCCTGCACGGTGACCTCAGTGCCCGAGCCCCCGGCGCCGTGCCTCCCCAACAGACCCAGACTAGTCCTTCTGTCCCCATCCCGGGTGTTGCTTTAGGAGTGACAACAACCCAGCACCTCCAAACCAGTAAATCCCAGCGATGCCCAGCACGTCCAGCCCAGCGCGGCGCCCCCGGAGAGGGCCCTGCCCGGGCAGAGGGGCCAGGCTCCCCCAGGGCAGCCGAGCACGCAAAGGCTACACATCGAGCTGCTGCAGAGCAATGTGAGCCACTAATGAAAATAAGAAAACACTTTTTGTTTTTAATTTCTGTGGCAATGATTTGATGGCGATCATTTGAAATTGATTAGTTCTCCCATGTGCATTTTATAGCCAAAAAAAGCTGGATGTTTCACATTACTTTGTCATTTAAATGATAATGTTTTGGAGAACACACACAAGGAAAAGACAGACAGATCTCTCTGCTGGGGCAGAGGGGCGGCAGCACAGCAGCTCCTCTCGGAAGCTTCCCCATCCCTTTCCCTCTCCCATCACACAGCCCCGTGCCGGGGCTGCCGAGGGCTGCACTGGATGCAGCAGGAGCCCAGCATGGCATCCCCAGAAGCCAAGAAATCTGAGTGCTTTGGCAAAATGGAAGATACAAAACAGAATTTATGATGGATTTTGCTGGAACTGAGAGAGGGAAGTGGTAGCTCTTAATCAGAACACGCTTTCTGGCAGCTACAAACACCAACTGGGCACAGCGATGCACTTGCTCGTCGCACCCACGTGCTCTTGGCCTGGGAGGGTCATTCCTCGCCCATGGAGTGTCCAGTGGAGACCACAGAAAACCACCCTCTGTACCACAGTGGTCTCCTGAGTCACCAACAGCCAGGGTGAGACATGACCCCACTGCCCAGGGGACCGAGGCTGAAGGGCTGCAGCTATCAGGCCGGGGGCTATCCAAACAGGCAGAGCACTTCTGATGACAGCAAAAGGCTTGCTTTTCTGTCTGAGCAGAGTCAAATACTCCTTTTGCATTATGTGGGTTAGCAATTCCTCAGAGAACAATGCTCATCAAGTACATTTAAGCCATTAAGACAAACAACTAAGAGATGATTGAAGCAGGGTGGTTTTATAACTCTTTTGCTCACCTGTGGTCAAAAGTTAAACAGGGGAAAAACTGTCTTCTCCAAAGTGCGAGCATCACAGGACAATTAAATGTCAGAGACACACCAAGCTGCAGCAAAATGGTTACTGCTATGTAAATATCTAAGCAAAATCATCAAACGTTAGATCAAACTGGGGCTGGCAGGAGACTCCTCCATCCTCCCTCCCCAGGGACAGGGCGTTGTGCCGGCAGACACTAAGAACCCTCGTGCCCAGCACTGACGCCGTGTTTCCCCTCTTCCCGTTGGCCAAGCAGGAGCTGCTGGTTCCCGCGGGGAACGGCAGCTCCTCGTCCCACAGCAGGGTGGGAGACACACAGGCAGCAAACCCTCCTGCTGCACGGCACCGGGCTGCGACCGGGAATCGATGGACCCAAGGTGAAACGAGGGCTGGCACCTTCACAGCAGACAGTGGGCTCTGATAAACACTGCCCAGTTCTCGAACATTTCAGTAAGACTTTCTACCGGGGGAAAAAAAGTCACAAATCTCGCTTTCTCTGATGGCTGCTGCCAGGGGGAGCAGGGCTGGGGCAGACGGGTGCCTGGGGGGTGACTTGCTGCCCCCACCCCACACACAGCCCTGTACTCTCAGGGCTGACCCACCTCCTCGGGCACTCCCCAGCACCGCACAGCCCAGGGCTGGATGCGGCATCGTCCGCGCTGGAAGCATCTCTGTGTCCCTGCCCCTCCTCGGGGACACCCCACCAGGCACCAGCAGCGATGGAGGGGCTGGGTGGCGCGGAGTCAGGTCGAACGATTGAGAAAACACCCATGGGCTGATTTTCAGCTGCTCTTCAGCCCTGCAGTCAGCAATTCAAGCAGCACAACGTGGTCAAACACCATCAGCTCACGCCAACAATCAATAGTGAAGATAAGCACCATGATTATTTATTTTCATACCCACACAGCCCACGCGCCACCGAGGTGTCATGACCCTCACTGCGGGCCCCCATCGACCAGGAGGGGCAGGTCAGGGTGGGACCTGACCCCGGCTGGACACTGCTGTTTTGCGGGTCCCCAGCAGCACATTGGGGTGCCCAGGAGGCCCCCAGGCATGGGATCGATGCCAACGGCCACCTGCAGCAGAGCTTGGCAAAGGATCTTGGCAAAATGGTGACCCGTGGCTCCTCAGCAAGCCCAAGGCTCTTCCAGGGCATTTGGCCAGAGGAGGAGGCACTGACCCGAGTGACAGCCCTTTGTGCTGCCCTCTCTCCAAACCTGCTCCCTACGCCCCGCAGCGGGACGGTAACCCCAGCTCCGGCATCCCGATCCCCCACCAACGCCTCAACGTTACCTGTCTAGGGAACGGGCTGGAAACGTTGCCTGAAACATGACAGCAGATACATATATACATGAAATAAAATGCTTTCTTGCTCTGTAAAGAAAAATGCCTGCCAGCCAGCAGGAGAACTCAGTGCGGAAACGAGAATTAACTACCTGTCTGGGGTTCTCTGTGGCTTCACCGCAATGGAACTGGAAGCCATAAAAGTGAGCCAAGGGCAATCATAGGAACAATTTTATATATATAAATATAAAAACCCCAAGTACTCAAAATGCAAATTCTGACAGGATGTTAAGAAATTACAAGCTGGTGTGGTCTGAATAATGTCATGACAAAATTCCTGCATACCTGGCATTTCCCGGCCTATGGATTACAGGAGTTACTCTCTCTTTCTGCTCTGGCACCCAGCAGAGGGGAGCACGGCTTCTCCCCGTTCACAGAGGGGCACCCCGCTCCCTGCCAGAGCCCACGACTGCGGGGTCTCCAGTGCTGCCTGTACCCGCTGCCTGTACTCTCTTTACCCACTGCCTGTACCCGCTGCCTGTACTGCCTGTACTCTCTTTACCCACTGTCTGTACCCGCTGCCTGTACTGCCTGTACCCGCTGCCTGTACCCGCTGCTGGAGCTCCCTGGGGCGCAGGGTGAGCTCTGATTGAATTAACAGGGCATGCACGGCCTCAGGCTGGAGCTGGCTCTTTATATGCAAATTAAAGATCATAAAGACGAACCCCAGGGCAGCAGGGCTGGGCGCAGAGCGATGCCCAGCAGCCCTCCCTTGCCACGCACGCCCAGGGGCGCTGCTTTAATGGGGTCTGTGCATCCATCCCCCTCACAGTCAACAGAAAAGGTGGCCTTAGGTGTTCACATTCGATTCGGGAGGCCAGTTTTAATCTCCTTGGGGTGGGAGGAAAACTCATGTAGAGAAGTGTTTACGCTCCCAAAGCAGAAGTTGTGCTTGCAAGTGCGCTACAAAGGGAGAGCTCATTAACAGCCTCCTCGTCAGGACGGTGTGTGAGGCAGCACAGCAGCAGCACCGGGCACCGACAGGAGACAGAACGTGGCACTTCACAGCACGACCGCCCAGAGCCCGCACACCACTCCGGCAGCGGCTCCCTCCTCCGCTCCCGTGCCCACATCAGCCAAAGCACCGGCCTCCGAAACGAGGAGCACCCCTTGCCCTCTGACGCCGACCCGCCGCATCACACCGGCGTTACCGGCACTGCGGCATGCAGGGGACACCGGTGGCGATTTTCACCCAGAGCCTGGAGAGAAAGGCCCTCAACAGCCCAGGTCTCCCCGCACTCACCCGCAGCATGGTGATCATGGAGGGGTCCCGAAGACGGCCGTCCTCATCCTTGAGGTTGTATCCCTCCGGCCTCTTGTCCCGCTCGCTGACCTTCCATAGCTTCACCGTCTTATCTGGGGGCAGGAGAGGAGAGCGTTACACCCGGCAGCAACCCTGGCCCGACCGACACGCCGAGGCCCCGCTGATGGAAATGCCAATGGACACGTTGATGGACACACGGCTGGTTTAACAGGGAATTATCTGCTGTGTTCCCTCTGCACCTTGCTGGAAGTGGGTACAGAAGATGTACCTGCCACCACTGCACTTTGTCCCCACAGCCCGGGGGTTCCCGTTCCTGCCGGACAACTGCCGGTGCGTTTATCCCAGATGGAAGGGAGGTGGTTGAACAACAGAACAGAACTATTGGATTAATGGAGAACTAATAGGAAGTGATTTCCCAGGGCTCAGAGCCTCAGCTCATGCCTTGGATGGTGGTGTTCAATATATCGAGTGATGGGGCCAAGTTACCCAGGGCTGTTATCCAGGGACCACCAGTCACTTTGCAATCCTAATTTCCAAATTAGTTTACATTCTAGTAATTGGGAAGGTGTTAAAAACTGAGAATGCAGCAACTCTCCTAATTCTGCTGGTTTTCCTCCTCTTTTCCTCCTTTTTCCTTCCTCGACCCCCAGCCGTCCCCGCTGACCCCCACCAGGAATATGGAATATGTGGGACCCCCCCAGCGTGGGACGCGTGGAGCAGGGCAATGGGCAGCGGCGGTTCCCGTAGCTGGGAAGGAGGGAAGCCGGGGGGGAGGGAACCTCCCCAGGAGCTCCCCAAGGAAGTGAAACGGTGCCTGGAACTCGCTCCAAAGTCACCCCGAGCTTCCCCTTCAGACACTGCACAGAGCCCAGCAGTTCCCACCGAACAAAGGCAGCCCCGAGCTGCCCCGTGGCTCCCGTCCCCCTGGGGCTCCCACCCGCCCGCTGCCCCAGGCCCCCGAACATGTGGGTTTGCTCTGAATAATGGTGTTTTCTTTCCTCGCTCCTGGCAGAGACTCTATCCGTAGTTTATCATTACTTCCACCAGGTTTCATACACAACCATATCATCCATCTTCATTTTCTCCTTCACACAGCAATTCCAACAGAGTGCCATTAATTTTGTTTTTATTAACCCGCTTTACTTCAGGGGTTGTCTATATATAATGTTAGTTTAACAGTGAGAACAAAAAGAAACAGCATAACACGGGAGTATTTCTAAAAGAATAATTTTGATAACCTGCTAGCACATGAAGCACCATCCCAAATGGAAAGATAATATCCCTGTTAATCAAAAAACTATTTAAAAACTCAATTAACAGAACATTATGCTCTATAATTAATCTTCATTGCATTTCAATGATTCTCCCCCCAAATGAGTTTAATAAGTCTTTGAATTTTATTACAATGATCAATAGAGTCAATTCTATAATACAAAGTAAGTTGGTTACGGAAGATAATTAGACCCTCCTTTTCCCCTGAAGTAATTAAGTCACATCCATCTTAAGGTCCCATTCATCCCAAGTAATATTCCTGGATCCTCCTGATATTTATCTGAACATAACATGGAACTGCTGAGCTGAACGCAGCTGCAAATTGAAACAAATCAGCTGCAGTTTTTCTCAAAAAAAAAAAAAAAAAAATTTAAAAAAACCAAAATGAGTTCCCAAGATCCCAGAACTGTGAGGTGTCAGCAGGGGCACAGGACCCCTCCCTCGCAGGGAAAGGATGCCGCGAATAAGGACAAAACCAGCTGCTCGGGAACCGAGCCCTGCCAGACGGTTCTGGCCAGGTTCCCGCTCCCCCGCGACACCCGTGTCACCCTCAAGGGAGTCCACGTTTTTTTAACATACATTTTTCCCAAAGCAACACCACTGAGCAGGGCCGGGGGCGGTGGGACGGGTGCCTGCCCGCAGCGACCTACCATTGGTGGAGAGCAGGAAATAGGCTGCGTTCTGCTGCGGGAGCCATCGTATCTTATTGATCTTCTCCTCTATCTCCAGACTCTTCAGGTAATCGAACTCCGGCTCGTGGCTCTGGAAGGTGCTGTAGACATTGTACTCTCCCCTGCGATGGGGTTGGTGTTTGCTCTGCAGGGGGGAACAGAGGAGCTGGAGGCACCAAGAGCCAGAGAACACCTTCTGCTGGCTCGGGTTCTCCACGGGTTGAGCGACAGTGAGCGTGCCACCGCTCGGGCTCCTGCCGTACCGTGGAGCAGCAAACCCCGCGTGGTGAAGCCAGCACCAGGCTCTGAATGGGGCCAAGGTAATTAAATGAGAACTGTGGTGGAGATGAGCTCCCCACACGCAAACAATGCCTCTGGGCCAGGGAAGCCCCCCTGCCCCTGGAGCACAGCCCCGTTCCACAGGGGGAGCTGAACGGAATACACCCGTGTGACGTCAGGAAGCTTAAAGTTCAAGAAAAGCAGCAGAATAATAAAACGAGAGAGAAATGAGAAATGAAACGCTCCTGGGAACGTTGATGAAGTGTCTATGAGTGTAACCCTTAACCGATTGGTTCTCTCCAGCTTATACAGAAATAATTTTGAGGCTGTAATTTTGAGAAAAATTTAAAACCATCATCAGAGCTTTACATTTTTCACGGCCAGGCCTGACTCATCCCCTCCGTCAGCAAACACACCCACGGGGAGACGGCCGAGAAGGATGCAGGAAACGCAGCGTCGTTTTGGAGGGCGTTTTACAAGGTGAAATCTGGCCCTGCTCATGTTAATAGTCACTTTTCAGTGTGGAGTCTGCCAGGGGGGACCTGAGGTTAGGAGTGACACATAGGGATTAGGGAACAGCAGGAAACTTCTCTTAAAAGGATAAAATGGGCATTTTGCATTCACTGACACTTACCTCCTGCTCACGCTGAAATATTACAACACGGCCCCCCTTGTCCCCTGTTGCTAGTAATTCTCCAGTGTGGTTGAATTCTACAGTAGAGATGATGTCAGCTGGAAAGGAGAAGACAAAGACAATTTAAGTAATGGCAGATTGGCTTTCACAGGCATCTAGAAAGCACCACTCCTGGTACAGCCACATGCCTTGTCAGCGCTTCGTCCCCTGTGGCACCTCCATAAATCTCCAATTTTCTATTGTCTATAACAATAAAGGCTACAGCATTTTGGAACTTTGCTGCTGGGAACCAAGACCTGCTTGGCATTCCTGCCCCCTGCCCCTGCCCTGCGCCCCAACGGCCGAATTCAGGGGCACTTCCATCTCTGCGCTGTGCCTGTGCCCAAGGCAACCTGGGGACCACTGCTGGCAGCGCGGGCACCAGGCTGGGCAGCATGGCACAGCACAGCGCTGCACGGTACCGTATGGCATGACTTGGCAGGGCACGCCCCCCTTGTGTCCTGGGGAGCCATCGCCCCCACTTTGGGCGATGCGATTGATTTGCCGTCCCCCTGGGAGGAGAGGGAGCAGACGGGTGAAGACACCTTCATGTTCTCCACCCAAACCCACCCAAGACCACACCAACTCTGCCAGTTCCCTTTGCCTGGTGATGAATCTCCCATGGTTATCAAGGTGAATCAAAGTCACACCTTTCAGCCCTCTGTCGCCCCAAAAGCCACCATCCTCGCACCGCTCCCCTTCCCACCAACCCAAGTGCCACCACCGGGGGCAAAGCCCCCACGCAGGGACCAGTGCTCGGCTGCAGCAACGGGGAGAAGCGTGGAAACGCGCAGGGACCTGTGACTTGTAAAGGCTTTAATCTGCAGTGTTTACCCTTGAGGCAAAGCAAGCAGGAGAGCCGCTAATGACTGGATTTATTGGGCCTATTTTTAGAAGAATGTCAGAGGTTAATTCCACAGCAATTACTGCCCAACTGGTGCTCGTCCACTGCCCGGAGCGCGGCTCGGCGCCGGGAGGGACACACACCACCCTGGAGCCCTGGTACCGGGCACAAGATTGGTTCTGGATGGAGAGCACTTATCCCCGATAACAGCCAGCTCGCTCCTGCCAGGATGGCTGAGGGGATCCACACTGCTTCTCCCGGTGTTCCTGCACCCCACAGGGCTCACGGCCTGGCTGCAGCCTCCGCAGGCCCAGGAAGGGGCAGAGCCTGGTGCAGCCGCGGCTGCAAACACCGGCTGTGCCCCAGGGCACCGGCACCCCCTGCACCGCGGGCACCGGCACCCCCGGAGCCCTCCGAGCATCCCCGTGATTCCTCTCAGCTGAGCTCCGCCACGTGCCAGCACAGAAAGCACCTGGGACATGTAACCCACATGGTCCCTTCTCCCGCCTGTGATTTCTACCCCTCTCAGACAGAAACTGGAAAGTTATCGAGCAGATGAGAAGAGGGAAGGAAGAAAAGGCCATCGACCCAGACCCAGAGACTGGCACAGACTTTGGCAACTGCTGGGAAAGCTTCTGACCGTCTCCATCTTCCAGGACATCAGCCGAGACAGCACCCACCAGACACACACCCCATGCCATGGATCTCCCCGAGGAGGCATCTCAGGGCCCTTCCACGGCTGTGAGCTGCCCCAAAACCCCCTCCCTCTGCACCAGGACAGCATCTGAGCTGGGTGAGAGGCTCCAGGCGGGTCTGGGAGCGACAACAGCCACTGCAGCAGGCAGCGCCCGCGCAGACAGTGAGGGGCACCCACCGGCACACACTGTTACTCACCAGTGCGCACGGCTGCTCACCGACACACACCACTGCTCACCGGCACACACACACCACTGCAATGCATCCCACTGCCTGCAGCCGCCTGTGCACTGCCCCAGGCTGGGCGCTGCCATGGGCTTGGCACACCAATCTGGTGACACCTGTTCTGCGCCAGCAGGACGTGGGTGTAGGACCAAAGAACCTCCTACATCAACTGTTTGCTCGTGCCGCTGTCAGGATCTCAGACAAGGGTAACGACAGGGCTTACCTTAAGAAAAAATATCAATTAAAAAACACCTCTCGTGAGCAGAAGCCTTCAACCCAACCCAAACCCACACCGTGGGCAGGTGCGTCACCCCCAGCACACGTGGGCTGGGCTCTGGCTCTTCTCCCCAACATCTCTGGGTACCAACAAAGCCGGGTGCTGGGCAGGAAAGCAGCCCACGGGGTGAAGGGGGGGCGTCACGGTCCAGGAGCCCGCAGCAGCACCAGATCCTTCCCAAAGGTGTCTCTTGACAAACTTGGACCCCCCAGCACAGGCTGGTGGGTCACAGGCTGCTGCCTGCTCACCTCCACCCACTGCACTCAAGAGACACCACAGGGTGATTATTAATTAAAATTCCCATGTATTCACATTGAAATGATCAATAATTTATGCCCGGTTCTCCTAAGGTTCCTACAGCAGTTTTGTGACAACAGAAAGGAAAAAAGCTTCTCTCTTTTTTTGCTTTTTCATTTCCTCCATCACCTCCTACACGCTCAGTGCCCCGATGCGGGAATTTAAAGAAAACAGTTTCCATGGAGACCCTCCCCTCCACCAGCACCCACCCGTCCCCCCTTCCCTCAGCATCCCTGCTCCTTCACGCTTTCATGCTAAAAATATCGAAGATGGGATTTGATTTCCGCCGTAGCGATACAGTTTTATCAGAAAAATAGGAAATTTATAATACAAACACCCCCCTCCCCCTCTCCCAAAGTGGAGGGAAGGCGTGCTCTCCGCCAGGAATGGGAAACGAACCCCTTATTGAAAAGAAAGAAGACAAAACCAGGGGAGCTGCAGTCGGTGCTGAGACCTGCATCCCTGGAACATGCTGAGCATCCCCAGAACAGCCTGGCCCAGAGCGGGAGCTGCTCACACGGCCCCCCCTCTGCTCCTCCCCACCCATGCGGGGGCCTGGGGACCCCATCCCCTCTCCCAGAGCATCCCAGGCACCTCAACCCCACTCCCGGAGCATCCCTTTAGCAGCAGGGAGAGCGTTACTATAAGCACCACTACGATAAATTGGCTTCAGCGGGAAGATCACAAACAGCAAACTTTATGTCTGGGGTCCACAAACAAGTCACTCGTACAGCTGCAGAATCAGCAATTTCCAACCAAACAAGACCCAGAAGTGACATCCCCAAGCTGCTATGTACGGTTTCACCCCAAAGCTTGTCTGTTCCTATAAATGTCTCATTCCCCCCAGCACTGGGATGGGGGAGCCAGCATGTTGCCCAGGTCCCGGTGCTCGGTCACTGTTACTCAGTCCCTCACGCATAAAACCATCCTGGAGTTTCACTCCTCCAAAAAAGTGACAGGTAGGTAGCCTTGCACTTTGTAGGACAGACACCCATGGGGGAGCCCTGCTGAAGTCAAGGGGATGCATCCATTTACACACATGGAGGATCTAGAAGAGGATCACGTAACAGTAACTGGGAGAAAAAAAAAGGCAGAAAATAAATTTGCAAAATTTTCAGTGACTTTTAGGATTGTTCTTTTTCCTGCCAAAATGTTGACCAAAATACAACAAAACGGTCAAATTTTAACCAGCTTTATTTCCAAGGAACCGACCCCTGCCTCCCCGCTCCTTGGAAGGGGTGATAGCCGCGGTCCATCCCGCAGGGACACCTGGGGTGACCCAGAAGGGATCTGCCTCTAAACTAGCCCTGGTGACCGGGCCCCTTCCCACCGCACAGGGCTTTGCTCTCATTTATCTCTCTCTTTTTTATGTACCTGCTGAAAACACGATACCAGCCCTTTGCAGGACGAAAACACCCCCAACTTTCCTCAGACAAGCCCTACCGCAGAGTGACCGAGGGGCTGCCCGGGGCAGAGCCGGGGGGACGCCTCAGCCCTGGCAGCGCTGCTGGGGAGCTGGGAGACCCACAGGTTTTCTGTGACAGGGAACAATCTGCCCGCCTGGAACCCAGAACCAGGGCCTCATCCTGGGCACGGGCTCCAGCCCCTCTGGCTGCTCTCCCATTGGGACAGGTCGCTTCTGGAGGGAGCCCGTCACCCAGCACCCCCACACAGCGTTGTGCAGATGACACCATCAGGACAATTCCTTCCCCGATTCCTCACGGGGGAGGCTCTGCCTTTCCCCAGCAGCCCCTGCCCCCCTCGCTGCCGGCCGCCATGCTCCTGCCCCTCGGCGCTGCTGGGGCTCTCCCGACGGCCGCTCCACTCCCCGTGCCCCCAGATTTTCATTATCTGTATAAATCACGGGGCTGGTGGCACCGCACACAAAGCCTCCGACTCTGCAGATGATAATAAATTGGGAAGCACCATAAATAACAGCAAACCAGGCTGCCAAATGGAGAAGGATTTAGATCATTCAAATCCCAGGCTATGAGTTGTCAAATCCAGTTTAATGCTGGTAAGTGTGGGATAATAACTCAGCGCAAACACCTCTCCCCTCCCCCTGCCAGCCCCCCAACCAGTGCCAGGGCAGGGGGTGGTTTGCCGGGCGGACGGGGGTGCTGCTGCATGGCATCCCCCCCCAACAGAGATGGAGGAAGCAAAGGGGATGCTGACAGGTCCTGTTAACAGGAGAACAACATCTACATCTGAAACCATTCAGGTGGATGAAGAAAGCATGGGGAGGTCATGAAAATTTAAAGGGCTTAGGGAGAGAAATAAAAGGCAGAACCATGTCTGGTAAGGGGAGAGCCAGACCATGGGCTCCCAACTGGGGGTCTCGGGCTGGGCAAAGCACTGTCTCTGCATCCCACCCCTCCATGGCAGGAGGTGGACCCCGAGCACAAAAAGGAGTTTCGAGGAGGACCTTGTGGTTCCCACTGAATAATGCAGCACAATCTCAGCCTCCCGGGGAGGCTCCTGGCTCAGCGACAGCCGGTGGGTCCCACCTCGCTCAGGAAATTGTGAGACTCTGCGCATTTCCCTGTTTAAAAGAGATCCCTTTGGTTTCCCTGTCTGCCTCCCCTAAAATGAAAAAAAAAGAGAGAGCAGGGTTTTTTAATAACTCTGAAACACACACGCTGTCAGCAATGAGGAATTCACACTGCATGTCGGAGCTTTAAATGCAGACTCTCAGAGTTTTGATGGAGAGCTGTGAAAAT